AAGAAGTGCGTTCCCCAAGGCTGATGACCTTTATCTATCATTCTGGTTGTGTTCCAGCACATAGCAGCAACATCTTGAGACCCAGCCTCTCAGAACAGCCTCAGAGTGCAATTTCTTTTTATAGTATATACAAATGCAACCCTCATTGAGCATTTGGCTTCTACAAATCTTACTGTAGTTTGAATCAAATCCCGTTTCCCACTGGCTGCTGTAGCTCTGCTTAGCAATAGAGCAGATGTGCTTTATCAGTTGGGTATTTTCTTTAAGTGTCATGTAACAGGCAGCAAGAAATGGCTTATTAATACTCTTGCCCTGCTCGAAAACTTCGCCTGAGAAAACTTTTAGCTCTTAAATAATACTTCTAATGTACTTAGGTATGACACAGAAGCAAGATGCTTGACTTTTTAACTGCCATCTTCTCTAATCTTTTTTCTATTACACAAAAGTTAAACGACAACAAAACAGCCCTTAGGGATTTGGGGGACATGCTTCAACAAACAAGGATCTTCCTTTGAACTTTTCTAGTTGTTAAAGGACCTCACCTTGCAAAAAAGCCTGTGTGGTTTAGTTTTGTATAGTGTGAACACTCTTGATCGATTTCAACAGCGTTTTCACCACATTATGAATTAGGTATGTGCAAAACTCTGCTAGATCAGCCTGGCTAGATGGTTAACTGCACTTACCTCAGCAAACACACCAATGTCTTGTTTCTTCATGCAACACATATGCTTACCCTCAGAGACACTGACCAAAGTTTCAAGGCTGGCCAGGGAATACACCATGTGACAAAGAGTTGGCTGATGTAGCTGTTAGTTGCAACCATAATGCCTTCTTGTAATTGGGGTTGTGCTCACAAAGACCGAAGTACCCACTCTTATTACGTTATTGCTAAAATTAAATAATCCTCCGTCTCGGCTCACATAAACCCGTTTCCACCATGAATTCACAGCATCAAACGCGTGTCTCCAAGCGCTCACCAGGAATTTCCAGGGCTGGCACCAGAGGTGCAGCTGCTAACGCCGGCGTGGTCCCATGGTATTTGGAGATCTCCTTACTCCACCAAGTGGCCACCCATTTCACTGCACCAGCCAAGAGAATTCATTACTGGCCACCTTGCGTTGGGCTGCAAGATCAGCCCATCAGCTTTTCCCTGACTAGCTCTAAGTAGTTGGGTAGACTTACATGTGCCTCAGATTATAAAGCGCAATGGCATCTGGTGAGCTCCTGAAAGCATTAGCGGTGTTAGAAAGCATCTGACTGCTGCCAGGCCACTAGGTCGTTTCTGAACCTAAGTGCTTCAGGAAGAGATCTTCACTCACTCACAGGAGATTCTGGGTACAATGAAATGATTAAGACCCCAAGACAACCACGTAAAAAGGAGACCTAGTGTAGCAGCTGCAGTAAAGTTATTTTCAACTTCTACTAAAGACCCGTCAAGAAACAAACAATATTCCCGTCTCTGAGCAGCAAACAAGTGCCAGATTCTTGAAGACTTTTTCCCCCTTCCTTCCCTTGATTTACTAAAAATCATCTAACAAATCATGCAGCAGCTGTTAGAGACTGAGGATGCACCAGCCAGTGTGTTTTCCTTAGGCTAACTGACCCATAACACAGTACATGAACTGTGCAGTGAGTTATTATTGCTTCACAGAGTTTCCGAAATCTTGCTTATTTTGTTCTATCCATGATGGACTACACAACATCCGAATAAACACGTTCCATCTGCAATCTTATTACAGCTGTCTGCAGGAATGTAATTCCCAGATACTGCTGTATTTAGCAATGTGATCTGGGACAGAATAATAAAATTAGAACATGATATACCATAGTGATGCTAAAGCCAAACAGTGATTACTTGTTGTGTCTCCAAACAGATTGTGTGAGACGGGTCCAAGTTGTCTGACTAATGGGAGATAAAGGACAGAACACAAATATTTATGCAAGAGAACGTAGGTGCAGCAGCATCACTGCTGTGACCACCAATGGTGCAAATGGGCTGAGGGGCTACGAGCACAGTATCACTGTTTCAAAGACAAATGGCCACTGGCTTGCTTGTAAGGCAGCAGTCCTGAAAAGGGTGTTTTAGGAACAGAGAGGCAATTAGAAAAGCAGCTTAACCAGGCTGGTTCTAGCAGCCTTGTAATTGCCTTTTGAAAATGATCGTGGTAGGCATTACCAAATCTACTGAGTGCCACTTGCAGATGGAATTATTCCAGCTGTCTCTCATGCTTAGATGATTCACTGATACAGCCAGATTCATCACAGTACCTACCTATACATTTTGGTATTGAGGCTGAGGATAAAAATTAGGGGAGAACAGAAGTGAGCTCCTTGATTTAAATTGGCGTCAGCAAAAGTGTTATTTTTGTCTCCCTGCTGTACACTCATTCTGGCCTTATTTGTTGAAGTCCCCTGGGAATCCGTGGTTGCTTTTGTCTATGTGATATCCAAGTAAATGCTCTGGATGAGCAACTTCTACACCCTAAAACCCTGCCTTACCACAAGACTACTCAAATTCTCACTGTTCCCTCATCACTGTCTGTGGGTCAGATAAATTACTACTCCTTTCCTGAATCCCTTCTGGAGAAACATGAACATAGCCCAGACCTCAGAAGTGACACACACAAATTGTCCTGCCTCACAGCAGAGTAGACATAACATGACAATGAAGAAGTGCTCCAAGATTCCCGTTTTGCCTCAGTACAGATGTTCTTTTGTTACAGCTTTGAATCCCGAGATAAGCAGATGCTGCAGTTTCAAAATGTTCATCTTTGAAAACAAGCAGCCCCAAACCAAACCCACAGCCACGTGCCCACTGTTAAGCCTCAAAGACATAAAATTGATGAGCATTGCCAAATTCCCTTTGGAAATAGCTTGTGATAGTCACTCTTCCTACAGCAAAAATATTGGACACCAGCTTAATTACATTAGATACAACCACTGTGCCTGCACAGATACCTTTATGGTGGCAAATGGGCACATCTTGTCTCCTGGATTCATCTGCCCACACTAGTCACAACCTCTACTACATAGGAACAGCAGTGAAAGCCAGACCAAAGGTCCCTCTGTCCCATAGCCTCTGTGTACCAGTGATCACAAGGCACAGGTACATACTGGTTTAAGGCACAGCAGATACTTCAAGTGACCCTTTTCCATTGTATCAGCCCAGATCCAGCAAAATAGGAGGAAAAATACATCTGTTTATCATGCAGAGGACAACTTTCAGGTTTCCTTCTTTGGCTTAGAAAACACAGAGTATAGGAAGCCCAAATTGTCCATGCTGAAGAGACAGCGCTCAATTACATTTTTTTTAACACAGATTGTTTCTGTGAGGATTATCCTGAATTGATGGTGAGCAAAGTAAGTCAGTAGCTCTCAGACTACCTATGCAACCAACGCCTGCAACTGCAGAGGATGAAATGCAAACATGGGGCTGGTTTGAGTTGTCCAGCATCTGTAAAAAATGTTATTAACATTTAGAACTATTCATTCAAATAGATTTGCCAAGCAACAGCCCTTATCTGGACAGAACATACTGCATGAAATCAAAATGGACAAAGTATGTCACTGCTAATCAGATACACAGTGGGACTTGAACTCCTTTCAAAGCAACCAATTTCTTACAGCATCTGCTGGACAGGTGGCCTACCTTGTGATGAGCCAGAGCTCTGACGCACAAGTAATTACAAAACCTTTGCTTTTTTGCTGCTTTTTTGTCATTTGCATTTAAATGATCACTATGTAAAAGCTCATCTCCTCAGGTATTTTTATTCTAGCGTGGTTAGATTTAGCCTAGCCCCTAAAACCAACAAATTACTACCTCCAGCCTTCTTGAAGCCATCTTTTTTTTCCTTATAAGCCATCTCTTTGCCAACAGCAAAACCTGCAGAAGCTAAAACAAAGCAGTACAAGAAACAGATGTCTCAGGCCCATCACTGAGGACAAGCTCTAGGCAATGCAAATCCATATCCTATTTAATAAAGAAGCTAAGAACAGCAGTAAATGCTGCTTTCTGGAGATACTGTTTTCTCAATTCTTTCCCTTTATCAAGCCCTATAGAATTAGTTGTTTGGGCATAATGCAAAGTATTGTATACAACAGGTTCTAGTACTTTGAGCCAACTCAAACTGCTGTTGTGGTTTAAATGGGAGAAAACTTGTGGGTTGAGATGGACAGTGTAATAGGTAAAGCAAAAGCCACACACACAACCAAAGCAAAATGAGGAATTCATTCACTGTTTCCCATGGGCAGAAAGGTGTTCAGCCATCTCCAGGACAGCAGAGCTCCATCACATGTAACCATGACTTGGGAAGACAAATGCCATCACTCCCAACATCCCCCCTTCCTTCTTCCAGAGCTTTATAAGCTGAGCATGATGTCTTAGACCTGGAATATCCCTTGGGTTAGTTGTCCTGGCTGTTTCCACTCCCAAATCATTGTGCATCCCCAGGCTCCTCACTGGTGGGGTGAGAGGGTGAAGAAGCCTTGCCACTGCCTAAGCACTGCTCAACAGTAACTAAAACATCCCTGTTATCAACACTGTTTCCAGCACAAATCCAAACCATCACCTATATACTATATACTGTGAAAAAAATGAACTCTATCCCAACCAAAACCAGGCTCATACTTCCTTGCTTGGTGAGCTATTTTGAAATACTCCTAGAATGCAGACATGCAGATTTACACACCTCCCCTTCCTGTTGTTCATCTAGTGTTCAACAAGAGCATACGAACAACTGCTGGTTTGATTCTGCCTGGCCATTCCAGGTGCCCTTCATGCTCTGAAGGGTGCATTCTGTGCATAGGACAGGAGGGCTGCAGTACCCCAGTGCATGTGCTCCTTCTCATGCAATGCAGTCATGGGAGAGAGCACGCATCTGTACCCTTTCCTCTCAAGTGTGTCTGTGTCTGGTCCCATTGGCAGGGGCTTTCCACTGAAAAGCCGAACCAGAAGAGATGTGATTCTGAAGCAGTGAAATCCATGTGATGCCACAGAGAGATGAAGTAGACCTATTTATTGAAAAACATTTTAAAAAAGATAACCTGGATTTGCTCAAGGCCTCGGGAACACAGCTCAAGCAGAGAACACACAGAAAGAAAGCAATTATTAGTTGCCAGTACTCCAGCTGCTGGGTTATTGTGTAGGTGTTTACACTGCAGTATAGCTCAGTCCTGGCTAAGCCAACACGATCTGACATTTCCTGACAGTTTCAGTTGCTGGAGTAATTGAGGGGCTTAGGATTTATTTAGGATTCTGACAGCTGGAACAAGCTGTTGTGCCTCCCATCAGACACCAACAAACATGTCACTTTGTGCTGCACAGCTGAAGTCAGATGATGTCTCAAGTCTCCTCTTGACTGCGTACTATATAAAAATAAATGTTTAAAAATAATAGGTCTGTGCAAGATTTAAAGTTATAGAAAAACATGGATCAAGATATTGGTTCTAGCTTCTACAGCCTACTTTTAAACACTGATACTCTCTTTCAGAATTATGCTGTTATTGCTCAAGTAGGGCTCTCCTTTCTACTCTCCAGGCTTAGCTTTGGTTTTAAGAAGATTCTATGCACTAGGACTCTCTTCCGTGCAAAATGAGTATTAACAAGGCTTCAGCTTCAGTATACAGGAAAGCAGGAATTCCTGCTGGATGTGCTTTAGGTGTTAAGGCAAAGTCTGAGTAACTGTTGCGAAAGAGAATGAAAATAAAACCCAAAAGGTCAGATGAAAAAGGTCAGATCCTCCTCTGGGGGTGGTGGGGGTGTTTTTCCTCTCTCCATAGCACAGGAAGCCTGAAGGATCTTGGATCCTAACTCAGACACCTCAGCAAGATGAGATGGACTGCGATTCCTCTTGGGCAGGTCCTCTACCCTGGCATCTCAATGTCTTCAGCTTGTAATCCAGCCAGGTGATTGAAGCAGAGGTCTCAGGACAAAGGAAGGAACATTCCACAGCTTCATGACACAGGGTAGCTCTCAGACAGGAACAAACAGAAAGTCTGTCAGGACCCAAATCAGTTTTAGTCTTGGTGTATGAACAGAGAAGAGAGCATTCAGGAAAGTGCAGCTTTTTACAAAAGCACATAATACTTCCAATCAAAGGCAAAGGCTCAGAGCTAGTTATGACAGTGTATTTCCCTCTGGAAAGGTCATGATGAACAGCGTGAAGGCAGCAAATCACAGCTTACAGATTCAAAAGCAACAACTCATCCAAGGAATAAAACCACTTTTCCATAAGTACTTGTGCACACTATCAGCAAGATCAGAGAGGCTGCGTCAAACAGCCACTGCTCCTCCTGCACCTTATCGTTCTGGATTCGTGCCTGCCGGAGCTCTGACACTCGGCAGGAAGCCATTCCAGCTGGGCTCCCCTTCCCTAGTTCTCCTGCTGGGTCACCATTCTGACCATTTTCAGTGCCATCTCTCCTTGATCAGACGGTACCTATCACAGAGACGAGAGCACACAGTAAGCAGCGGCTATAAGGAAGCACACAGCAAGCATTTATTCATCTTCAGTTTTCTTGCTGGTAACGTATATTATTTACCATGTGCCCAGCCTTAAGAATCCAGAAGAAAGCAAAATTCTCATAGGCCTTGTGGAAAGCAGCTGTCTCAGTGGATTCTGGAGATACATAGAGCGCCTTCCACCTCTGCTGGCTGAACTGCTTCAGATTAGGCCACTTCAGTTTCCGGATCCATGCCTCCTGCCCTGTTAGAAGTAAGAGATAGACTTGATTACAGATACTGCCATAGCAATTTGTGAGTCCCAGTTCAGGTGATGCTCACTGGATACCAATACTGCAGAGTCAGCAGGAAGTCCGTGTGTGCTCAAATTCTAAACCCAGTTTTGCTGTGCCTGAGGAAATGACCAAGGCTGTGTTCAGAACTAGCTGCAATGAACCAATGGAGGGAGAAGGCTAAAAAGCAAACAGTGAAGATGTAAGTGATATGGACTTATGATGGCACAAGCTGAGCATGTGATTCTTAAAGGCTCTGCACAGCCCTAGCAATTCTGCTTTACTCCTCACACACCTTGAATGTCCTGCCACAGAGAAGGATCAGCCACACCAAGTTCCCTGTCTGGGAATCAGAAGAGACACTGCTTCTCTGTTTGCTGCAGCCACTCATCAAGAAGAGCCTGATAGACAAGGCAGAGGTTAAGAGACCAAAAAGATCAATTCCAGGACACCACTGGAGACAAAGCGTTAGCCTACCTCTGAGCTACTGGGAAAATTTACATGTTAACTGCAGCTCAGTTTTAGCTCAAAATGTGATAAATTGGAGTACCACTAACTGCTAATCTATTCTGACAGCCTAAATACACTGGTTTCTGATTTATTGATTGCTACATTGTTCATGAAGGGCACCTGAATATCTCAGTTGAATATCAGACACAAATGATGCAGCCCTTCACGACACAGAAACATGTGTGTGCAGATTATTTAAATCAGTAAGAAAAGGTGAATGGAAGAGAGCACAGCAGTCTGGCAGCAGGAGGCATTTCAGCAACACTTGGCCTGGCTCCAAACTGCCACTTGATCAAGCCTGCAATCTACAAGCAGCAAGGGACAACAAAGGGCTTTGAGTGGCCAAGATGTGCAGGAGCCTACATACATTACTGCAGGTGTGATCCCTTTTCAACTGCACCCTCCCTGATTAGTTACCAACACCCTTGGTCCATCTCACCTGGCACAGTGCCTCTGCCACAGGCCACTTAGTGAGGGCTGACCTGGATTGTGCTCAAATCTGTAGCCAGATTTATGACCTCTGCCCCAGGAGAACAGGGTTGTCAAGCCACAGAAGAGAGGATAATCTCCATGTGACTAGTCATCTATCCTCATTCTTCATTTATGAATGAGCATACACACATATATATATGTGTCTATCCAGAAGAATTAACTGAATTATGGGCTACCTCCATACTTACAGACTTGACTGAAACAAGCAATTATTGATGTTACAGATCCAATTCCAAACTGTATAATGGAGGTGAAGGAATTGCTTCCCTCAGAGGGATGTAAACAAAACATACTAAGAGCTGCTCATTTATTACTGTAGTATTTTAAGTGCAGCCAGCTGAATAGGACATTTACGCTGGAGAAATCCAGGTACCAATATTACTGACACTGTATATTCTATTTGTCACGTGTTCTGTTCCAAATCTCAGTCAAGAAGTTCCTTACCCATGGTGTCAACAATGAGATCCAGCTGCCCATTATAGACTGTAACATTGACATTGGCTGCCAAAAGCTGATCAACAATATCGATGACAGGTCTCATGAAGTCCTCAGCCATGTTCTCGAAGACCTCTTTGGACTGACCTGGTTGGAACCAGAAAGAAGACAAATTTTAACTGATGAATAATGTCATCTCCTTGCTGGGACAAAAGCAATTGGCTAAGAGTCCTAAACTGCAGTTCATGGCTGCATAAAACAGTCCTAGCCCAAAGTGGCAGCCAGTGATTTCTCAATCTGAGTAACTGAAGAGAACCAGAAAGCAGGCATGCTCCCACTGGAGCTCACAGACAGCAGTGTAGCTTCTGGCTGCTACTATACACATGCAGCATACTGGCATCAAGCCTTTAAGCCTCCTTTGTTTTACACCCTCCCCTCCACACCATGCAGCATTACATGATGCCAGATTTCTGGCACAGAAAAACTGACAAAAATTGCATGAAAGACAGAAAACAGCTGCTGAGATACTGAGGATCTTCTTCCTTCCCTGAATTTTTAGCTGCTTGGCTAAAGACAGATACAAGCAGCAGAATCAGAACCACATCTGCTCCCACCGGCCTGCCCCATCATATATCCATTTCTGAGAGTAAATCTTCTTAGGCCCAAGGATAATGAGAATTGAATGCGACTGCTTACTACAGTGAAGCATCTTCCTACATACTACAATACTGTAAACAGCAATAATGGACTCATTAGATGCACACAGCAGACAGGAAAGTACCTCCCCATTTCACACAGTCAGGTATAATTTTTAGCTTCTTTCTGATGGGTCCGTTCATCAGCTCATTTAGGCTGTCCTTGTGCATATTTCTGACATGGCGCTGGTAAAGTCCCGCTGAAGAAGAGAGAACACACTGGGATTAGTGGCACATTTAACGCAGTCAACCTGCACAGGTAACAACTTTCAGTGCTACAGACATGGCCAAAGTCTTTTCTAATGAAAATACAACACCAGAGAGAGAGATTTGCTTACTTTTACAAGAAGCCATTGATGTCAACCCTTACTTATGTCAGGGGATGATACAGAAGAACCTAATCATCCATTTCTACTTGTAGCTAACACAGCACTTTTCAGGGGACCAGCTTTAGCCTCTTGGTACAGACACAATTTTCCTCTCCTCAAGAGACCTGTTACTTTTAAGCTGCAATGCTTTTAACTGTGCTATTCACCTTCCAGCTGAAGCCAATAGAAAGAGATAAAGCCCTTGAAAGAAATTATGTGTTTTCACATTGATGCATAAGCATCATGGAGGAAGAGAGTCTAATGAGACTATTTATATTGATGAGACATTTTGTGTCCTAGCTTGAAGACAGAAATGAAAGACATTAAGAGGAAGTAACTCCAAGGTCATAAAACTATGTTGCAATTATTCTGACTAATTCCTTGGTGTCATTTGTGTAGGATGTATAGGTGGAGCTGTAATCTATAAGAGGGTTGCTCCACATTCCTATTTATGTAAAGGCAAACAAGTTCTGCTCAGGAGAGTACCAATATCCTCTGGAACAGAAAGCCCAATTTTAAGGATGTGCTAAAACTGAGGCTGTTCCCACTAAGAGCTGAAGGTGAAGCTCAGAAGCTCAAATACATAAAAGCAACTTACTGAGATGGAGATCTCCTTGTTCATTTGATTTCATTTCTGGAACGTCTTTAGTCATGATGTTATAAAAGTTCACATTGTCTGTGTTCTGAAAACACAAGATAATTTCAATAACATGGAAAGAGGTAAGTAAATCTTAAATTAAGGACCCTGTGACCTGCCACTTTACCTACACATCAAGAAGATACTTATGGAACAGCCTGGGCTCTACATTTGCTCTGAGAAGCAGGGGAAAAGATTTCTCAAGTCTGCATTGTTCATGCATGGGCTGTGCCAGAGATGCTGTTTGCTTCTCCTAAACAGATGTGAAACTACAGGAGGCCTTACACCCTGCAAATGACTGCAGATTCTACCACTCATTAGAGAGAGCTGCAACGCCCGATGATGCTTTCAGATGGTCTCTGCCACTAGAGCTAGTCTAGGCTGATGCTGCCTCTTGCTCAACATCCTCCCACCCTACAACCCTGCAAAATCTAAACTGCTTCCTCAAGAACATGATGATAACTATCAGCCACCCTTCTCTTGGAACTGCTGGACAAGTCCAAGAACTGAAGAATGGCAGCTCTGATGCAGACTATAAGCCTGCCTGCATCCAAAGGACAAGTGTGACCAGTTTTGCCATTAGAGAAGTTACCTGTGATTCTTGAAGTCCTGCTTTATTCAGTTTTTAAATAAAACTCAGCTCACATCAGTAACCCTAAAAGAACTGAAGTGCCTGCACCCTGACAGTGACATTGCAATGGGGAGGAGAAGACAAGCAGACTTGAAGAGGAAGGCAAAATGGGAACCACAAGTTTGTTCCAAACCACAAGAAGTGAAACCAGCTACATGCAAGGCAGTACCAGTTCTGAAACGAAACAAATCATTAAAGAAAAAAAGCAAGAAAAGCAGCTTCAGATCAGTGTTCTCATTTGAGGAAGCCAGAGCCTTACTTAAACAAAAACAAAAGGAAGAATGAGATTTTTGGAGCAACTCTTCAACACGAAAAAAAAGAGCGAAGCTTTTAAGCTGGAACTTTCTATGTAACAAGGTAAGTAACCCACAGTAACAGGGCATAACTTGAGGTTCCTTCCCATCCTGTGCACCTATTGTAGTCCTTTAGAGATCTATGATTAATGAAATTTGTGTCTTGCTAGATGCAGTTTTCAATATTCAAAGCAAAGCTTTCAAGGAGACTTAGCTTATGGAAGTTGAAACTGGGTTCTATAGACATCAGTGGGACTAGCTGTATGCTAAAGATTAAGCACCTATGTAAGCGATGCTCCAGGCTGAAACCTTGATGCAATAATGTGAGCCTCTATGTGTCACCCTACCCACTGCCCCTTACAATCTCTCGATGGTGCGCAGCAAACAGCTCTTTTACATCAGCACTGGGATAAAACAAACACTGGTAAAAATGCCTGGAGAATTCATGCCAACCCAATGCTCATAGAAAGACGAAACTGAAATCGTGGCCTCCCCAGGCACCAGTTAGTTACTAATGCTGGTCAAAGAAGATCTCACCTCTTCAATGACACCTTCAGCCTTGCCCCAGAGTTCAGTGGCCAGCCCATATTCATTTTTATTTATTGCATCCATTATTTCTTTGGCGACAGCAGTCACCTCTGCTAGACCATTATCATCAAGGAGAGACTGGAAGACAAACACAAAGGAGGACAGCTTTAATTATAACTCACGTGCATTTCTCACTAATGGTCTCCATGCATTGGAGGTTTTATTCTGGCTAAGACCTAACCTTAAAAATCAACATCCATTTATACTGTTTGGCAGTACAAGTAATCAGGTGTGGACTGAGAGTTGAAGAAGGTACTTACAGTGCTGTAAAGGTAGGGCCCCCAAGACAGGACAGAGTCTAAAGAAACAAAACAAATTTCAAACATTTAAGTTTTTGACATACAATTTCTTTTACTTTTCCTTTTTTTATAGCAAGAATGATTATGACAAGAATATATGGAGATGATTTCATCAGTAAAAAGGTACTGTCAGCTCAGTTTAGCCCAAAGGCTACATGCTGCAGAGCAGGGTCTTTACAAACCCTGAGGACAAACGCATTGCAACACCCTTAACCCCCAAATATTTATCAGTGAAATCTATTTCAAGCAATAGACATGTTCTTACTAAAGTGTTCTCACCCCAACACTGCAGCACATTGCCAGAATATAGGGAAGAGATCTGACAAGTGAATGGGCATTATCTAAACTGACCTGTTCGCAAAAGTTACAGGGGGAATAAAAGGATCTAGTTAATAAATGAAATCTGGTTTATAACAAGTTTGTTTATAAGGGCTCAAGGATCAGCTGATAAGAGACAGACAGGAGTTTGCTTGATATTGTCCCATGCTGTGGGGGCTCTGTGAAGCCTGTCCTTGCTAATCTCACTGAAGGACCAAGAGTCCTTTAATCTGTTTTGTCCTCCACCAGACACACCCCCCCTATCTCTTATGGGTCTGTGAGCACATCAGCTCCTCAGCACAAGGTCTTCTTGTGAAAAGAAAGGAAAAACCTCAGCTCCAACCTTGTAAAACATCTGGTGGCCACATTTTAAATGCAGTTCTCCTACCAAAACACCTCAGGGGCTGCAGAAACGCACAGGGACATTTCACAACCACCCCGTTTCAAATGCAGGTATACTGGCTTTGCTTTCTGACTTTTTGTAGTCTAGATATGCTCTAAAGGTAGATTCTTCAATCACAGCTTGCAATGGTGAAGTATTTCTTTCTGATTTACCAGACTCCCTAGAGGTTTCATTCACTGAAGGCAGAGTGGGCATTTTTGGCTCTAAGTACCCATGGAATGATTAAGAAAAAGCCCAAGAAAAGCAAAGCAACAAACCACCCACAGACTGAGGATTTTTAAACGTACCCAAAGGAGAAATCCATGAGTCTCCAAGAGCAACTCCCATAAAATTGCACTTTATGGTCCCTTTTTGAATAGCCTTGGTGGAAAATAACAAAAACCACAAACAAACAAATCAACTTTTAGTAGATATTTGTGAATCTAGAATCAGTTTTCTGTAAGTGAAAAAAAAAAAAAAGCAGCAGTCTGAATGAGGCGACAGGGACACTGTGTTTCAGGAAAAACAAGTACTTAGAGAACCACATTTTAAAGTGAAAAGCGAACTACATCCTGCAGCTACTCACCCTATGCAGCTCTAATGCAAGGCCAGCAGCCATTTTACCTCCATAGGATTCAGAAAATATGTAAAATGGGATGGTCTGGAGAGAGAGAGAGAAGCCACACAATGAACCCATTGGGCAGAGGGCAGAAGAACCTACAACAGGTCCCCACAGAACCCAGGCATCAGCTGCTCACTCATCACTATCAAACATGAGGTATGTTTCCAATTCTAAACTGCAGGTAAGAGTCCTGTTACATCCTAGGGAGTTACTGGGGCAACTTTTATAGCAGGCACTTCAGTATTTTAGCACTACAAAGAGCCACGATCCTACATGCTTGACAGAAAATAACCCACCACACTGCTTATCTAAGTAGCACCAAATTCAAGACACAGCTTTTGAACTGACTCCCAGCAGATGCACGCTACCTGGGAGCAAACACTGCCCATCTGGAAGTCTCTTCACTAATTCTTTCTGAGATCTGTTTAAAAGCAAGACAAAATACAATTCTAACCAAGAATTCAATTTACTTACCTGGAATTCTGTTCTACATGTGAAGAATTCTCCAAGAAAAACCATCATATCAGAAACTACCACGGAGAGGTTTTTGGCAAACAAGCTACAGTCATCCACGTAACTGAATCCAGTACCCACAGGATTATCCACAAATAAGACACTGGCTGCCTGCAACTACACAAGCAGAAAGAAGGTTTGTATGAAACCTCAGTTCAGCACCAGCAATAACCTTAGTTTTGATGACACAACTGATTAACTGAGCCACTAAATCTTTGCCCCTGAGAGAACTTGCATTAAAACTAGATGAAAGTCCAAAAAAGAATGGAGCAGAACCCTCTGTCAAAATGTGAAACGAGAGAATTTTCTTTTGGGTTGCTGGGCTTTTGTGAAATCACTGTAGCAAATGCTAGAGTTGTATAGTTACAAGTGTACAGATACAGCCAGTAGGTCAGCTACCACTCAAAGCAGGAAGGCTCACAAATAAAGAGGTACAACATCAGGTCTTTCCATTTGCAAGAAAAGCACCCAAAAAATCCCAGTGACCCAAGGGCAGATTACCCACATAACCTAGGGAACCCCAGAGCAATTAAGACTATTGGTAGTTCAGAGCACAAATACATTTCATTAAATAAAATGCCACCTTCTTAGGCAGCTGTAATTTGTTCTCCCTTGAAGGCCATACTGGACTTGTAATTATAAGCCACTGGTTTTACACTGCCAGGAATCTATGACTGTACACAGTGAAGCCATGATCTTAAATAACATCTTTCTAGAATTGCCCTGCTTCCCAGACACCTCCAATTCATAACATCATGGAAGCCCAGACGTGTTCCATAAAATCACATTAACAGGTCTGTTCTTCAGTTCTTAGCAGGGCTATTCCTATAAACCAATTTATTAACCACACTACTGTAAGAAGAAATACTATAGTTGCAGTGAACTTTAAACTTTATTGCCTTTATCAAACTTTTTCTGTGAAATTAACTGTTCTGTGCATTTTTGCATGGCAATCATCTGCTTACGCAAGCTACAGGCATTTGCCATCAGTAATTAGAAGCTGAACTCTCTACTATACCCAGGTTGTGTTTCTTGGTTTCATTTCTCTGTCTAATGGACCGATCTCTTCAAAATTCCCAAATCCACAGCCTGAAGATCCCGGGCCTCCCTGTGGGGAAATACCAAATGACATAAGCTAAAAGGCAGCATGGTATAGATATGACAGACAGGAGAAAAAGAAAAGCAAGCCAATAAGTACAATGACAGATTGTAAATCTAAAAGAAATGGCTTTTGCACTCCATGTTAATTTGCAAAGCAGCAAATTAAATCTCTTCCTCATGGATTTTCAGTATGTGCACACATGCCATTTCTGAAAGAACTTAAAGAGGAGCAATCACCCACTTGTGAAAGCATCTAATAAGTTGCATGCTACATAAGTGCAGCTTTAAAGCCTTTCTCCTTATTCCCTTAATACGGAATGCAAAAGTCATCTCTCTACAGAGGATTGCAAGCCGTTAGTTTCATCAGCATGTGCATTCCACTCTGAAGAAATAAGCCAGAAAGCAAAAGACCAAGTCATCAAGTCATTATATTCAACATTAACTTCTGAAATGTACTGCTGGAGGTGAACATGCAGCACACACCACTGCCTTCCATCAAACTGTGACTGAGTGGGACCAATCTCTAAACAACCAGAGTCTCTCTGACTTGTTTTCATTTAGGAATCTTTCTAGATCTCTGATTATTTTACCTACTCTCTCACTGAACATTGTTCAGACTGTAAGCTCTTCAGGAGGGAAGCTGGGATGCTACAGTATAATTGTAGTGTCTGCCACAAAAAGCACTATTATGGAATAAAAGGTGAGAACAACTTCTGTTTCTGCAATTTATCCGATGGCAGGTGAGCATCTGGGGGCACTCCACGATTGTAGAATGGTATCTTCATTATTTCTACCTCATTCACAAGGGGAATCATTTAGAACTGGACAATTTTGAATCCTGTTTCTGTTGAGCTGCAAGGTATCCATCATAACAGATGTTATTTAAGTGTCTTTCACCAAACCTTACCTGGAGCCACAAGATGAGGGGCAATTCCGTGAAGTCTTTGGTTGGGTTGTTTGCATAGTAGAGCCACCAGAACATGTGGGCCTTGCTTCGAACTTGCACATATCCCCACAGCTCTTTGGGCTCCTGGGGTCGCCTCAGAACTGCACCTGTGGGGGGAATCAGAAGAAGAATCAGCCAGGTTAAAAGGCAGCTTTGGACTTTCCACTGGATTTGTTCCAACACATCACACTGCAGTCCTGGGGGTGATAATTACAAGTGCTTCCATTAAGAAAATAATAGTATAAGGAACCTGACTATAGTTACACCTCCACACACTGAGTTATCACCAGTGAATGAAGTGTGTCATTAAGTGCCTAATTAACAGGGCCTGACGTTGCAGCTGTGGCCAAAACAGCAGCCCAGTGGCCAGGATGATGCTTTCTATCAGGGAAACATTTAAAGTCTTTATGTCCTGGGCCAAAAGCACAGCCCTGCCACACAGGATGGAATAACTCACACCAGGGTCACCCGCACTCTGCCAGGGATCCAGCACTTAGATCCCAGTCTATGGGAAGATCAAATTACTGTAGAGTCCCCAAGGGGAGTAAACGCAGGGCAGGCAGAGAGGTCACTTCTAAATGAACCCAGGATCTAATCCTAAACTCAATTAAGTCAGCAGTCTCACCAACACAAACTGCCAAGCTGTTCTCCGCCTAGGATGTGGGCACTTCTGCAGAAGCAGTCCTTTGAAACCACATCCCTTAATCTTCCCGATCACAACAGCAGTCCCCAAGAGAAACGGAGTTTTCCAAGCCACAGTGGTCAGTCTGTGCTGCTCCATAGGACACAGGCTGGCCATGTTCTATCAGCACGGACACCACCACACTTCCGTTACCAGCCCTCACAGCAGCAGCGACACGAACACGGATGTTCTGCTCCTCACAGCCCCTGACCTGAGGGGTCTCCGAGGTGAAACCCTGCAGCCAGCACCCCTGAGCACCGCAGTAACCTCACACACACGGCTCTCCGTGTCCCTTGCACTGCCAAAGGGAATGGGGTCGAGAAGGGCAGACAACAGCTCGGGATTCAACAGTGATAGGCAGCGCTGCCCTGGTCTGTGGGCATCTTCTCTCACCCAGGTGAATCAACAGGGACACGAATGCCCACATTCCTGAGGCCCCGGGAGCGCAGACCCGGCCAGCCGGGGAGAGGAGGCGACCCCCCAAGAGCACGAAAGCCCCCGATAGAGACGCAGCGACAGCCCGGCCTGCCCCGAGCTCGACCTGCTCCCACCGGGACAGGGCCTTTACGACCCCCTTCACCGCGTCCCGCTCAGGCGCTGCCCAGCGGCGGCCACAGGACCGAACGTGCCATGCCCAGGGGCCGTCGCTCCAGCTGGACACAACCCCCTATCCCGTCCCGTCCCGTCCCGTCCCGTCCCGCAGCCCGTACCTGCCGCCAGCAGCAGCACAGACGCAGCCGTCGCGGCACGCAGCGACCCCATCCCGCCGACCGCTCCTGGCCCCCGCGCGGTCACATGCACCGGGACCGGAGCCCGACCCGCCCTCACGGGAGCAGGAACCGCCCTCAGGGGGCGCGGCCGAGGCCCGCGCACCTCCCGCCCTTTTTGGCCCACACTTGGCGCCGTCGTCCTCTCGCCCCGCCTCCTTCCTCTCCAAGATGGCAGCGGCCGGCGGCGGCCCGGTGCGCCTGCGGCTGGTGTTTGACTACCCGCCGCCGGGCAGCCCGGGCTGCGCGCTGTGCTGGCTGCTGCTGGAGCCCGGCCGGGTGCGCCTCGTCACCGACCTCATCAGCCTCATCCGCCACAGGTTCGGCTTCAGCCGCCGGGCCCGCCTCAGCCTCTTCTTGGAGGGGGCGCTGCTGCCCCCCACCGAGAGCGCTCGCCTCGTGCGGGACAACGACTCGCTCCGGTACGGCGGGGACTGCGCCGGGCGAGCCCCGAGCGGGAGAGCGGAGCCGCGGTACCGGGGTGGGAGGAGGCTCCTGGCAGGCTCGGGGCGGGACACGGAGGGGCTGGCGGTGCCCCCCGGAGGTGAGCGGAGCCCCGTTCCCCAAAGCCCGAGACACCGGGGATGTCTGAAATGGGATGGAGAGAGCCCAGGGGTTGGGAATCCCCCCAGCGATAGAGGGAGAGGGCAGCCACCGGAAAACAAGCCGACCCGAGCTGCTAATGAACGGGAAAAGGTGTTAATTGTGCTGAGCAGTGGCTGTTTGTTTTTGACAGAGTAAAATTGGAAGAGATCGCTGTGGCTGACTATGAAGAGGTAGGGGATGGCTTCTTGTATACACCAACAGGAAACAAAAAAAGGCATAGACAAAAGAAGGAAGAAGAAGACTTCTCTCTAAATGAAAAACACAGGCATAAAAAGAAAAAGCATAGCTCTGAGTATCCTTCTTGTAGGGAGGAGGCCTCTGTAGATATTTGGGACTCTCATAAAAAGCACAAGAAAAGAAAAAGAAAGGATGGAGTCAGTGAAAGAAACAGAGTCACAGAAGGTAACGAAGAGAGCTCTTCTGGCCAATCCAAAAAGCTTGAAAAAACAGGGAGAGAGAAGGAGTTGGCAGCAAAAAAGAAGGATAGAAAACAGACAAAGGCCACGGCAGCAAAGGTGGATTCGGAACTGGCAAATCAGAGCTTGTCTCGAAATGATGGTAAAAATAACACAAAGAAACCAACACAGTCCAAAAAAAGGAGGGTGGGAGCTTCCCCTCCCTCCAGCACATCGTCAGACAGCGACAGCAGTGAAACAAGCATACGGCAAAATAAATCTTCCCATAAACCTATAGTGTCAGCACTTCCCAAAGACAAATCCCAAGCAGCTGTAAGTGCTGATGTGAAAACTGTTGTTGCTAATAAAGTGACTGTAAAGCCCAGCGCTGACAATTCCACTAAGACTGCAAATAGTAAAAATGCTAAAAAATCCTCATCCTCTAGTTCAGATTCTGACTCGAGTGCAGAGGATGAGAAGGTGGCAGCAGCAGACAACAGTGTGGCAAAGGAAACGCCACTGCCCAGCACCACCAAGGCTCCCAAAGCACAAACCTCTTCCTCAGAGCCCGAGAGTTCAGGTTCAGAAGCACTCATTAAAAAGTCTGCAGCAGATGCTGGACTGAGTAATTCCATAGCAAGGAACTGTTCCAAACCATTGCCAAACAGTATTCAAGGACCACTTGCCAACTCGGGGCGTGGAAGGGGGTATGGAACAGGAGAGGGTAACTTCAGGAGAGGACCTAGGGGCCGTGGGTATCGTGGGATGATGAGGGGCCAAGGCCCTGGAAGAGTAGCCAACCCTGGCTTCTTCTATAACTACAACAGTGAAGGCCAGAAGCAGAGGCAGTTAAATGAAGCTGCGACAAACTCCTCTGGTCTTGTCCAGGTGAGTGACTTACACAGTCATAGGTCACCTTTCTCTTGCAGTGTTAACTATACAAAAACTGCCCAGGATGAGAGTCATTCACAAAACCTCTAATAGATTAGTAGGATAAAGGCTGATCTTAACTCAGTAAACTTATATTTACTGTATCTCCATTCAGCACCCTGAGGAAGTGTTTATGAATCAATATTTAAGTGATTGTATTATGTCTGTCAAAGCAAAGTACTCAGATACGTACCATACTTCTTCTCAGAACATCTTACAATCCTTACTTTGCCTTCCAGTTTAATAATGCAGTAATTAAATCAGTGGATTTACTGCTTGTTCCACAGAATCCCGTGGAGGTCCCCAAGAGAGACTATAGTGTGTTACCTCTTCTAGCTGCTCCACCACAAGTGGGAGAAAGAATTGCCTTTAAGGTAAAGAACTTGTGAAATACTGAATGTTAGTGGGCTAAAATGGTTTCATTTGGGCCACTGTAAGTTTTGCAGGACATGATACAGATCACATAGTCCTGACATCAAAATGCTTACACTGATGAACTTCATCTTGCATTGTTCTGGGATGTTACCTTAGAAGTGCGACAGTTGGGAAGGAGTCTTCTTTCTACTTAATTGTTCGTTTTTAAAAGTTGCAAGGAAAGTCAGCATTAAAATTAGGTGCTATAAAAAGGAAAGCTACCTCTACGTTATTTCTCTGTAGTGTTTCTATAATATTATTGCAAATTTTACCATACAAATAATTTACTGCAGAATAAAAAAGTGAATGGAAATGAAATAAATCACTGTGGTTGAGGAGACCGGGATCCATCTCTGATCTCCTCTCACAGCCTGACCTGAACTAAATCCTTTGGAACTGTAAGTCCTGGAAGTCTGTCTGGGCCTGTGATTTGCATCAGGATCCAGGAGTGGGAAACCTGATTTGTGCACTTTCCTCTTGCTGAAGAAACACTCTCTGGGTACAGGTGGCATCATCAGGGATCTGGAAAAGTTGTAATTTGTTATTTGTATTTCTTTCAACAGCGCTTGGAACTAACTGAAAATTACTGTCCTGAAGTTTCAGACTATAAGGTACTGGTTTCTTTCCTCCTGTAATTCACTCACAAAACTATTATAGGTGAGGTAAGAGTTAAATATTTTGAGGTTGTGCAGTGTTTTTCCTCTCACCCAGTTGACTCCACAGGCTCTTCCTGGTGCAGCAGTAAAACCAAAAACTAGAACCCAAAACTGGCTGAAATTTTGAAACGTGTAGAAGTTATTTATAAAAAAAAGCATTATTAGTAATCGTTAGTATTTCAAAAATGACAAAAATATCAAGTAGAAGAATGCAGCTGTATTTGAGTCTACTGCTGCCTGAAGTCAAGGCAAACTCTTGAAACTGATGCAAGTAAAATTTGTAGCTACTTCAGGTGACTGTTTCTGGATAAGTACTGATTGAAAGTACAGCCAGTGACCATGAATAACATCATTTCACTGATGTCAGTAGCTGCAGATTGCTGAGCTTTAACACTCTGCAGATTTTATGTATAGAGCCAAATTTGACAGAGCTTTGTCTGCCTGTGATCAAGTACCATAGTGGTTATCCAGTGCTGAAGTGTATCTTACCCGATTCTTTCTTTGTTGCTTTATGAAGGAGGGAAAAATCATCAGTTGGAATGCTGATAAAAAGCAGATCGAGCTTGAGATCCTTTCGCCATCAGCAGGACAACGTATGTACCTTGGGACACCAAATGCTGGTTGTCACATGCACCACTTGGAAAACAGCTAGTCCAAGGCACACGTCATGTTTTAGGAGTATTTCCAGTTTCTTTGAGTTTATCCTCAAAAGTCTATTTAAGTGGAGAAGTTCAGACATTTGCTTGTTGTATTGAAGATGCTCATAGGTAATTTGTGCAGTCGGTGTGAGTGGTCAGTAAGTCATCTCTGTTGGGATTTTATTTCATGAAAAAAAAATTAAAATCATTATATGGAATTGCAGAGAAAATTGTAGATTAGAATGGTGATGTCAGTGAAGCCACTGTCTTCAGTGGCTTTAGAACGGAGTCCCTGCAGTGACAAAGTACACTTCAGAGACCTAACCTGAGTGTTTCCAAAACTGGATGCGGATACTGGAGTTGCCATTTAGCCCAGAATTAATGAATTATCATCATTTGAGTATTTTTCTCAAATTTAGCAGTATATTGTTGATTAAATTCTTCATGCATATAAGACAGTTACCTCCATTTTGGTGTCTAGTATTCAGTTCTACCTCAGATTTTCTTTTACAGTTACGAACCCAAACCCCCAGTTTAAGTAAAAAAAAAAAGTTTGGATTATCTTTCTAAATATGGAAGCATTTAAACATTTTTGTTGAAAGTTAATGAAGTTGTTTGTTTGGTTTTTAAGATGCAAAAGAGCCAGGGAAATTCGATCTGGTTTACCAGTCTGCAGATGGAGCAGAACTGATTGAGTACGCTATTCCTCAGGATACAAAGGTATGTGGGTGCCCTGTTTTGAAGCCTGTTCCAAGTTTTGCACAGCTGATACATGCCCTCCTTTATGACTCTGTCCATCTCAGCGAGGTTCCCTTTGTAAGAATACATCTGCTTAAAATAAATGGAAAGAAAAAGAATTGTTCCTTTCTAGCGAGAATGTGCATGACTACAAGATAAGAATCACTTCTGGGATGTTCCTCAAGTAACAACGTTCAAAACCAGTTATTGAACTGTAACTTTTTGGTTTTGCTAATAAAATAAACAGCATCACATCTAGGTAGAGTATCAGTTCTTACAAGGTGATTTATTTCAGGCACTGGTTTCCTTACCTGCACCTCTCCTTATGAGGATATCAGTCAGGTTGAGGTTCATTGAGATCAATGAATCGCAGGAAGGATCTTGTGATCTCTGTTCAGTCATGCTGCCGTTCAAGTCTAGACAAAGAATAATGTAGGATGAATTGCATCTGCCTAGATGGCTTGTGTGTACCAAGTATTCTCTGTATTTTGTTTTCAGATAACTGAAAGCTGGGATGCACTGATAGAGCCACGACTGATTGTGGAGCCTCCAGTCAATGGATCCAGCATTGCAAATGGAACAATCTGAAATATGAACAAATGTAAATAATTGCCCGGACTGTCTTTGTGCCACGCTGCCTTCTAGTGCTGAGGGCAGCAGATGAACTGGTGGATATCTTTAATAAATGGTTCTAGAAGAAACTATGCCAAAAGGAAAAGGAACACTTTTGTTTTGGGATATGTTTTTAACGTAATACAGGAATACTTTTTTCATTATAGGAAGTCTTTAATATATAGACCTGTTGTTTTTTCCTCAATGGAAGCTTAATAATAGTTTTTATATCCTACTGCTGTGAGTTGCAGAACTGGAAAGGTTTTATCAAAAAGATGAAATATGACCTTGTACTGTCAGTAACTGCATTTAGATGACTGGGTTTGGTTAGAGCCAAGCTCACAGAGGTAGCTTTCTGTAAGAATAGCTAAAAACAACACATAACAATGAAATATACATGTTGATGTGCACATCTCTGCAGCTGCAGAACATGATACACATGCCATGACCTTGCAGTTATTTCTAGGGCTTACCAGAACATAGGGGTTTCAAGGTTCTGTGATTTTGAGAGGTAGATAAATGGTATCAGTAATGTCAGAACCAGCAAAATATAACAGGAATCCCTGGCAAAATCGTGTCCAGTGGGTTAATCTGTGTAGGCTCTGAAACTCTGTTTGTTTGTTTTAAAGCAAACCCTTTTGTCCTTTAAGTGCTGAAGTTTCTATGCTGCCTTTCCTCCCCAGTAGTGGAATGGGTCGCCAGGCGGTGGCAGTGCACTTCCCTGACATGCAAGTATGAGCACATCCAAGCCATCACATCGTCATCTTGGCAAGTCTTACAGTTTAAGATGATCCCTGTCCTGGGGAGTTGAGTCTTAAACAGAAGACATGGGGGGAAAAAAACCCAAACCCTAGATAAAAAACACCTGGAAAACTGTCCATTGTGGTTTAGCTGACATGTGCTCTGATTAGTGCATGACTATGTTCAAACATGGCACGTCATCGCACTGCACCTATTAAAATCTCTTGATTGTGAAGGAATCATTTTTATATCAGTAAAACCAATGTGTGTATTGCAGTTCTCCTTAGCTGCTGTTATTTTGTGCCAGAATTTGCTTTTTAGAGCAGATTTATGTGTGGCCATTCTTGCAAACTGGACAAAAAGCAAATTTCAGAAGTGTAGCACCGTCGTGCTGAGGCAGATGGGATTAATGGAGAGACTTACATTTTCCCCTAAAGGAAACTGTTAGTTTTGAATTCTGATGAAATTGAAAAAGCTAAATATGCAAGGATTTCACAACACTTGAGAGCAGGATTTGCCTCTTGTTCCATTGCCCACAATGTTTTGGCTACACGTTAAATGGATAGAGTCCCTCTGGCTGTAAGGAACAGATGATGCTGTTCCTCCAAAAGAGGATGTTATAAAGATAAAATCCTGAGGTTTATTTATCCATTGTTAGCAAGTTTGGGTGAAACTACTGCTTCAGTGCACAATTTACATCAAATTGAATTACATGCAGCCTGAGGGAGCCAGCTGAGTGCCCTCCCTGTCACACCCATCCACCCAAGACCTAAATGGGGGAGATGTGGAAAAGGACAGAATGTGCACATGAAGGAATTTGGAATTCTGATTTTGATAGGAATATTGTACCACTGCATATTAAATCCAAAAAAAGTCAAACTATCAGAAAACCTGCCTCCATGTTTGCTCTGCCTGTACACGAGGAATAGTTCTGCTGTACTTCCAACTTCCTGCTCAAGCTCCGAGTAGCACTCTGAATACCCAGTATGTGGGCAAAGGGCAAAGATTCAGTTCAGAACCATGTGAAGAAGTTCTCAAGGCATTGAAAGGGGGCAAAGAGAGCAGCAACTTCAATAGCTATTTATACAGTAAAATTCTTTACTGGTTTTTAATGCTAAGCATTGGTTTTTAGACTGCAGGAACGGTTGGGCTTACTCAGAACAGTTTCAAGAAAAATTGCTCATCTGAGCTCTAAACACCTCGTGTTCTGTTCCAGAAGCAAAAAGCTGCCACTGTGAGGGTGTGTATTTACCCTTTACATTTGCATACCTTTGTCTGCATCAGTAGGCACGAGGTGAGTGCTGCAGAAAATGCAGTGCTGAGCCTTTGGAAGAGGACAGTGGTGAAGCCCAGGAAGAAGTGCTTTGTTCACCTACAGAAGAATAACAATTGTAAATGTCAACAGCTGCTCTTTGGTAAGACACTTCTTGGTGAATACTGTCCTCTGCAGTCACTGTCACCCACTGCCTCGCAGGCACCCTTGGGTGTTCCCATCTCCTCTGACAGCAGTTACAGGGCTGCATATCCCAACAGTGCTGTAACTAAGTGGAGCTGCACCCATCTAAACCGGCCACCCTCCTGCAGATCACACACCAGCCCTGAACTCTGCCTCCCCTCTGTTAACCCCAGCTCCAGCTATCTCCTGTTGCCCCATGACTAAGCTATGATTCAGAGTCCAGGACACCAACCCGTCCATAGTTCACCCTGAATGGGGATTACCAGCCTGGAGCACATTATTGATGCAGATAGAAGTCAATGTTATCTGTATGATGCAGGTTTACAGTGACTGTTCAGATTTAATTTAGTCCTCTAAACTAAGTGGCTAGGAATTTCTTCCAATGCACTACTTAGACAAACCACAAAAGCCCCTTTCAAGTGCTTTATATGATTCCTGAACATTTTTTGAAGTCTCTGAGAGCTAATGCCAATGTAGAACCCCCACAACTGCCTGCGAATACCTTCTTTACGACATCACAAGAAACATCAGCAGTTCTCCACAAGCTGTCCTTTGGCCACTGGAAATGTAGTTAAGAGCAGATGGCTTCCTCCCTGCAGACCACCAGACTCTGCTTAAACTTTTGGTGGATGGCTCACAGTCTTTGTGCCAGGCTGCTCCATTTCATTTATTGGCAAGTGTGGAAGGCACTGAAGAAGTCCCTGTGACATCAGAGAACAGGGCAGATGAGGGAGCATGAGGAGGTCATTGGAAGGATTTGGAGGCAGGCTAGTTAAGACAGGAGTACTTGCACACATGGCTATTCGGCATCCAGTGTTCCTGCTAGAAACAGCGATTATTCAACAGTTAGACTGAGGGGAAAAAGAGAAAAATTGAGCAAGTACCTTCCATTAAGATGGTTTCCACGCTCACAGTGCATTGACCTGCGTGCTTTACAAACAACAGCTTATTTGCTCTCCCCCATCCCGGTACTCGCAGGAATGCAGCCGGGGCTGGCGGCAGCTCGGCCTGAGCGCGGTGGCCGTCGGGGTCACACATGGCAGCGATGAACGAGGCCGCAGCAGCGGGGCTGTGCTGAAGGGGCCCCGAGGACTGGAGGGCGGGGGCAGCGGGGAGGGCATGAAGGCGGCCGGGGGCGCGCTCCGGGGCGGCGGTGGGAAGTGTCACCGTCCCCCGGGTGGGTGGGTCGGTTCTCGGCGGCGGCTGGGGTAGGTCCGGGGCTGCCGTTCCTCCCATCGGGGCGGGGACGGGCCACGTAGGTATCGGGAAAGCTCCTGCCCAAGTTTCGATTGTGGTAACGGAAGTCGGAGCGATGGCGGAGTTGGGATTGTCGATGCTGGAGGAGGACCTGACCTGCTCCATCTGCCTCTGCCTCTTCAGCAGCCCCGTGACCGTGCCCTGCGGGCACAACTTCTGCGCCTCCTGCCTGCAGCGCTTGTGGGCCGGGGTGTCGGAGAACTTCAGCTGCCCGCAGTGCCGGGCTACCTTCATGGGCCGCCCGCAGCTGCAGAAGAACACGGTGCTGTGCCGGGTGGTGCAGCAGCTCCAGGGCTGCACCGGGGCAGAGGAAGAGAAGAAGGAGGAGGAGGAGGAGGAGGAGGAAGAGGGCCCTGTGTTCTGTGACACCTGCCTGCAGGCACCCGCCGAGCGGACCTGCCTCACCTGCACCGCGTCCTTCTGTGAGGAGCACCTGCGGCCACACCAGGAGAGCCGGGCCTTCCGCGACCACCAGCTCTGCCCGCCGCTGCGCGACCTGCAGCAGCGCAAGTGCCCGCAGCACAACAAGCTCTTCGAGTTCTTCTGCAGCCAGCACGGCAGCTGCATCTGCTCCCTCTGCCTCCTTGGGCACAAGCTGTGCAACACCAACCCCCTGGAGCTGGCCAAAGTCAACGCCGAGGTGAGCGGCGGGGGCAGCCGGCTCCTTCGGGGGCTCTGGGAGAGGGACCAGAAGGGAGCTGTGGTCCCCGAGAGCCTGGTGGGGCCCTGGGTGCTGGTCATGGGCTCTGGTATGCAGGGGGGAGGCTGGACCAAGACTTGGACTGTAAATCTCGTGCCTGGCCTTGGCAAACTGTTATCAGCCCTCCAAAGCATGCTACAGCATATCTCCAGTCATTCCTTGTGTGTTCCTCCTCTCTCCAAGATGGTGCTCCCAGGATCTGGGAAGGTGCTGTCACAGAGTTGAGGGCCAGGTCCGGGTTTGGGCTGGGCTGTGGCAAGGCCACCTCTGTGAGAGCCCCTCTGCTGCTTGCTGCATGGGGGTCACTGCGTGGCCTTACTGTGTATATTCTTAAGAAACAAAGACTTACAAAAGCAGCCAAGGGAGAGCTCTAGTATAAAAATACTATCCTCCTAGAGAAAAGCCATGAGGAGGTTCTGCATGGAGTGGAAAGGCAGGAAACGTGACCTTCCTATCTTAGAGTGCAGCTAAAAATCAGAGGGTAGGATGAGTAAAGCATGCCTGAAAAGTTTACATGGCCAACCTCCCAGCTGTTCAGCAAGCATGTATCCTGCTTGTTCTCAGAAATCCTCCTGATTCGGCTTAGCAGCACCTTGAACTAAAGAAGTCCAGCCTGAGAGCTAATGTGAAGCATATTCTTAGCACTGAGAACTGCTATGCTGGCAAAAGCACTCGGTCCGTGTTGCGAGTCAACAGCGTGCATCTTGCTGTTGGGAGAGGTGGAGCTGTGGGGAGGGTGCGGGCTCCACAAGCCACACTTGTTTGGGAGAGTGCTTTTGCATCCCCTAAGGTTTAAGAAGCAGTAGGTTTAAAACCAATAGTACTAAATGCTTACAATGGTGATTTAAAACTTCCTGCAGAAATGACTCTTACCCCAATAAGAATGACCTGACAGACAAGACATAGCAATTGCTTGTCTGAAACACTTCCTGATCTCTTCTATTGCAGGCGGCGCTGAAGAAGAGACTCACAGAGCTGCATAATCAGAAAGAAAAAGCTGCTCGGGCGATGAACACTTTGCGAATGAACCAAGGCCAAGCTGCTGTAAGTGGGTAACTGTTCAAAATGCTGTCAGGTTGCTTGGCACACACTGAATGGCAACTGCGTGTCATTCATGCTTGTACCCTTGGGACAATGGCTGTAGTACAGAGATTGCATTGGCAGGAGTTGTTACTGGGAAGGAACAGAAAGGGGGTGTTCTGGCAGAGCCAGGCAGCTCCATGGCAGAGCATGGCATAGATGCATCCTGATGCTGGTGACCACTCGACGGCACAGCATGGCCTCCCATGGCTGGGGTCTGGAGACCCAGAATTCTCCTAAATTCTTGGGAGTAAAGGAGCTTTCTTTCTAAACTACATAGAAACATATAGGTTTTCTGTTGCCTGTTTCAAGTAATTGAAGCCTATGTGATACCAGGAAATAAAGGGTTAACATTGTACCTGCTTGCATAAGTAGTCGCTGTGCTTGGTGAAGCAGAACCGTAGGAGTTAAAGTTGCTAGAATGGTGAAGCAGAATTGTAGGAGTTACAGCTGCTAGGCAGAATTGTAGTAGATAAGATTCATAAGTTAATATTTAAGATGTTCTTGTTCAAATAGTATCTTTAGAAAGAAAAAGAACAAAAGATAGCCAGAGTAAGAAAATTTACAAACTTGACAAGTTTCTGCTCTAAGATACATAAAACCGGCTTGTACCGAACCCGAGGTTTGGACAGGAGCCAAAACCCTATTGAGTCTGCGTGAAGGCAAGAGGTTACTCGCGGTGATGAAGAGGAATTACAGGCCTTCATCCTCACGACCCCCTAACGACCACCACCAGGAGGCACTGTGCGCATGCTTTTGGAGGAGAAACCCCCATGCGCCTCAACGCTGAATAAAACATACCTACTTTACAACACTAACGAGTTGTGGAGTCAATCCGCATATCATATGTGTACCTCAGAGGCTTTCCTGTAGTAGTAGTAAGCAGTACCTTGTCCACAAACTGCTTTTGAAACCAGTGTCTGTTTTTTTTCTGCTCCAGGAGACAATTTCCAAACAGAAAGATATGATCCTAAGTAAGTTTTCAGAAATTAAAGCTTTAATTGAAGAAAGAGAAATTCAGATCTTGAAAGCAGTTGCAGATGAAGAAAACAGAGTTTCGAGTAAGTTTGAATATATTTACGGCATTCTGGGAAGTAAGAAGAATGAAATTCAGTCTCTCTCTGATCAGATTGAGATGGCACTGACTGAAGTTGATGACCTTCTGTTTTTGAAGGTAATGTGTCTTTAAATGTGAATCCAATCCTTCATGTTTCTAGAATGCAGAATAACAGAACCCTGCTGTGGTAGTCCTGCTCTCCGGAACAGTTACAAACAGTAATGCAGCCCTGTGCCAGAACCTGCTATAAACAGGTGTACTGAAAAGTACACAAATACTGATGAAGGAGGGCTGAAATGGTGTCTGGTAGCTTCCCCCAGTTCAGCCACCACCTCTGCTGCAAGCAGCGGCGCCAGATGAGTGAGAGCTCATCCCCATGAGCTGTTGCAGCTCTGTGCTGTGACATTGTCTGATAGCTCTTTCAGGTATCAGTTAAGAATCAATACATGTGGTTGCTGCTGAAATTTTGCCATGGGTCGTGTCTGGCTGTAGCCTTTGCTCCTTTGAGATGAATGCGCAACCTCACCCCATTTAAACTAACTCGGTTGTATTTTCCTGTGTCTGCATAAGATTTACCGTTTGTCGTTTCAGAGAGCAACAGCGCTACAAAAAACATCAATAAAAGATGCTTTTGTTCCTGTGGTTGAAGTAGACCAAAACATGATACATTCCTCTTACCAGTCTGCCGTTAACCTTAAAGACACTGTGAAACTTTCAATGACGCCATCTGAGGAGAAAAATGTGGAAGGTACTGTATCACTGGGCAAAGTGGCATTTTCTGCCTTGGTTTTGAGCTGAAATGAGGGATCTTCCTCCTCCAATCTAAATAGAATTTTAAAACTCCCACAGAAACCAAAAAAAAAAACAAAACAAAACAAAACCCCACCCAAAACCCAGTGCAGCAAATGCAGTTGGGTAAGATAAAGTGTGTCTTCCAACTTCTGAGGTCCTCCATTTCCACACAAAACTACTACAGTCTGGGCTAAACTAGGAGAAGAAACATGCCAGTGTCTCTTCACTTTCATCTCTAAGCTGATGAGTATTGTGGTACTCTGCCCTTCTGGCATAGCTCAGCCTTTATTCCTTACAATAACTTATGCTTCTATTATGTAGCAGGGTTGGATGCAGTTAGGATGTGGATTTGAGGGGAGAGATAAAACACAGTGATAAGATGGTGGTTACTCAACTGTAAAGATGCTGATTGTGTAAGAACAAAGCCCTACTTACCTGGTTAAGCAAATGTATCTTTTGGACTGGGACGTGGGTGTTTTCTATGCAGTTTCCATCTCTGCCAAGCATCACTTAAGTTCTATGCACATAACTGAAAAATAAGATTGAAAAATGTCTTTGCTAATGCCTTACTGTTCCTGGCAATACAAACCATAATGTGAAATATCACTATTGCAGCAGCAGTAACACCTGGAAAAACTAAGGCCACTCCTGGGGCTCCTCGAAACAAAAACGTAAAAAAGCCTGCAGGACCCCGTAAGTACTAAAGAACATCATCCCCTCCTAACTGTGGTTTTACCATCAGATAACAACTCATGGAGTTACCCAAGAGCTGTTTGCTTTTGTGGTGAGGCAGTGATAATATGTAGTGAGCACTTTGTCAGGGGGAGGGGAGGGTGTTTGGGCTGTTACTGTGAGCTGTAAAGCACAAGCTGCATGGATACAATGGTGCATTACCCTTGGTGTGTGCCGGTGGTGGTGGTCAGTGTGGGCTGTAAAGCAGAGCTGAGCCTCCCCAGCCTCTGGTTCTGGCAGGGCGTTTTTCATTTGTACTAAACATCTGTTGGCTTGTTTGGTGGATTTGTGTGTACTGAATCCTGCTTATGAGCTGCTTGTGGTCTGTTTTTTCCTTTCCTCCTGTCACAAGAGCATGCCCACAAAGAGAAAATCCCTCAGCAGACTCAAGCCACTTTACCAGGAGAGGCAGATACCAGTAAGTGGCGATTAATAGCAGCCTTACTCAAACCTCTTACTGGCTATGTCTTCCCTATGGTCTAAGGTTGGGTGGATGGAGATGGTCTTCATGACAGGTTATACTGGGGCCTTCCAGTGTTGTTTTGTCCAGATACTGATATTAATGTGGCACTCAGCCTGTTTGAAAGATACTCCATATTCTCTTTTCGAAATAAACCCAAGTGTTAAGAAACTACTTCTGTTACTTCCACTGAGCTCCTGACACATGGTCCTTCCCATTCACAAGTTCTGGGTGTGGAGCACTCAGTAGGGTCTGTTGGGGATGCTGAAGTTGAATGGCTGCATAGCTCTTGTTGTTGCATTAGAAGTTCTGTTGCAAAAATTAAAGGAATAGTCTGTATGCCTCATGAACAGACTTACTACTACTTACCCTAACAGACTACATCCTGAAGCAGAGCTGAAGCTCCTTCCAGGCTTATAATCCTGTGAAGTAGGAAGCAAATAGTAGGTTGTGCTTTATGAGTAGCTTTCCAGTATGGGAAACATGGCTTCAACATGCTGGGCTGTCAGCTTTATCTACTGCTGCAGCTTCACAAGAGCCATGGTGATGGTGTTACAGCAGGCATAGTCTATCAGTGGCTTCTCAGTCTCAGTAGAACCCACAGTTCACTCTTTTTATTTCCCCCTACAGAGGAGAAAAAGAAACCTGCTAAAGCTGGTGAGTTCAAACTTTGAGCACACTTACTCTAATCTCCACTGACTGCTCTTACAATGGTAAGCAGATGGTCACTAGTATTGGTGTATTAAGCAAAAGTTCAACTCTTGCTCTAAGAAGTCTCTTACTAGCCACTGTGAGAGTGATCAAGCACTGAAAGAGGTTGCCTAGACAACAGGGGGTTTTCAAAGCTTGACAAGGGATTGAGCAACCTGAGCTAATACTGAAGTTAATGCTCTGTGGAGCAGGAGGGTAAGCCAGATAACCTCTAGAGGCACACTCCAGCTGAGTGTGCCTGGGATGGTGTGCGAAATATGCAGGGTTTCTTCCCAACACCAAACTCTCTTTTCTCCTGTTGGCACAGCACCAGCCACGGGAACACCAACTGCTGCAGCTGCCGTCCAAGTTAAAGATCTTCTTGACAGCTTCCTGAAGAAATCCAGAGAGGAGCTTTTGCAGTGTAAGACACCCAATGTTATGCTACTTAAAGATGAGCTTTCTGCACCCGCTGCACTGGTGTTATGTGCCCTCTGTAGTTACCTGACAAAAGCACTTTTGGGGGGTTTTGGTTAGCTTAGGAGGTTATCAACTGGCTGTTACAAATGAAGGAAATTTGGGGAGTAAAAGGGGACAGGAGGTTTCTAAGTGGTTCTTTTGCCAGGTGAATCAATTTTATCTTCAGTATTCATGTATCTTTACAAAGGTAAATTAAGTTTTCTCAGTAATGGTTTCCCCCAGAATGACTGCATTAGGGTAGCCTAGAAACATGAGGTAATGCACTGGATTTTCCTTTGAAATGAAATTCAGGCTTTCATGGGAGCCCATGATGGCTTGCTTAAGATACTGTACCTTTCACTGCCAGATCAGCAATCCCCTTCTTCTGCCACCATGTATCTGGGCAGGATGATGCAGGGAGAAAGAAAACTTGCCCTCCATTTGCCTACTTTCTAACACGGATTTGCAGCTGATCCCAGTAGCTGTTACCGTGTACCTAAGAATTTCCTGCACTGTGGAGGAGAGCGGAGCAGGGAGATAAACACACATAGGAACAAGTGCCTAGGCAGGACAGTATAAATAAGAATGTTTTGTTCTTCAATACCTTCGTATGATTCATGCCATTGCAGATGCTGCTAACGTCACGCTGGATTACAACACAGCTCATAACAAAGTGATTCTGTCTGACAGACACACCAAGATGTCTGTCTCAGACACCCCCATGAAGTATAACCAGCTCCCTCAGCGCTTCACTGATTGTTACCAAGTGATGGGGTTCCAGTCCTTCAAGAGAGGCATCCACTACTGGGAAGTGGAAATGCAACAGAACAACTTCTGTGGCATTGGCATCTGCTATGGCAGCATGGAGCGGAATGGGCCGGAGAGCCGCCTGGGCCGGAACAGCCGTTCTTGGTGTATTGAATGGTTTAATAACAAAATATCATCCTGGCATAATGATGTTGAAAAGTGCTTACCCAATACAAAGGCTACCAAGATTGGTGTGCTGCTCCACTGCGAGGCAGGGTTTGTGATTTTCTTTGCTGTGGGGGAGAAACATAACTTGATCTACAAATACAAAACCGAGTTTACTGAAGCCCTGTACCCTGCCTTCTGGTTATTTTCCAGTGGCACTGTTCTGACACTCTGCCAACTGAAAGGTCTCGTATCTTAATTAAGTTTGCCTAAGTATTTGCATGCAGATAATCAGGCCTGTAGCAGCTCTTTGTGTATCTCAGTCTAAGAAATGAAAATTATTAGCTCTTTTAAGCAGTTTGGGAAATCTGCTGATTCTTTGGTCTAAATTGCTGAAGTAGTTAGATAGTGATATAGTAAAATGATGATAGTAAAAACTGGGATGAAAGGTTTTGCAAAGACCTTGATTGTCCTTCTAAAAAGATATGAATTGTTGTTAAATGTCTTCAGTAGCTGCTGTGGCTTCTGTGGTTTGTTGTAAAGGATCCCCAGAATGAATTTTCAGCTCTAAATGTGTTTCACAGGTAGCAATAACCCCTTTGAGAAAGAAACAGGAAGAATTCCTTGACAAATCCAGGTTCCAAGCTTTGAGGCAGATCTCAGTGTTGCCTTTTTCTCTGTCCTCAGACTGTTGCCGATAGTCAGGATTTGCAATACACATGTTCTTAGTGTATGAATCCATGAGGCGGCACAGGCTGAGCTGTTAAAAGAAGTAAGTTAAGGTTTTATGACACTAAGTTATAAAATCTCATCAGAATGGAAATGCAGAGATTCTAGAGTTGACAGGGAAGAAATGGTGCCAGAATCACCAGGAAGTACCATCAACATCAACTCTGAGACTGGGAATATGCCAGAGAATCTTCAGGAAGACATCCTGCAGAGCAGTAGCCTGTGCCCTTGTGATAATGCAGTTTGTGGGATGAAGCATTCTGTCTCATGTTCTGAGCCAGCACATGCTTCAGATCTTCACACTGAAGGCTCTTCAGTTCTGGGGTTTTTCTGTGTGCTGAGGAGTTCAGGGAGAGCATTTTTGGCTTGCATAGGGAGCACAAATGTGCTGTTCACTTAAAGCAGGGTCTCCTGTGTGTCTTTCCTCTTTGTGAGATGGGATATTCTCTGCTGGTGTATCTTCAGTTGTTTATATGGTAGAAACTGGATTTTCTACATGTTATTGGAACTCTGATTGGAGGAGCCTCAAGACAAGTGTGCACAGTACCTAGAAAATGCTGTTTCTTCTCTGCATGAAGCCTATGGGCAGACAAGTGGGTCTTCTAAAACATACAGGGAATTAGAACAAAGGAGAATACCCATCCATTCCCACTGGGATGGATTTTTAATTCTCCTGGTGTTCCTTGCTTTGGGCTGTGGTATGTTTTCAGAAGTCCTCACCATGTACAGAAGACTCTGCACTTCTTACAACTTTAAAAGAATCAGTAGGCAAGCAAGGTATTTGGATCTCATAGTTATTGGGCCTGTATCTTGTTGATGCCTCTGGACTTACTGTGCTAGCTCTTATTTCTTACAGTAGCCCATGAAAAACAGGGAGGCTCATACAATTAATGGACTCTGATTTGTAAAACTTCCCCTTATGGGACTTGGTGAAATAGAACAGAAAGCTACTGCTGGCAGTTTGGAAGGGACTTGTTAGGAAGCTCAGAAGAACCCCTGTCCATTTCACGTTAGCCGAAGTACTTTAGAGAGGGACTTGCAGGAATTCAGGTTTGGTGTCTCTATTTTTACTTGGTTTGTAAACTCTTAGTACTTTGTCAAGGATAGCAGGAATCTGATGAGATGCTTCCTTCTGCCCATCCTTCCTTTGGCCAAAATAGGATATGGAACTGGTGATGGACCTAAAAGTGCCAGGGCTGTCTTTGGAGTAGTTGTACTGTCTCAAGGGTCTCAGCTTCCCAAAGCACAACCAGCACTAAAATGAAGCAGAACACTTCAAAAGGTGTGGGAGGAGGATGTGCACTGATATGAGCCAGCAATGAATGCAAAACCTTTTTCCCTGAACTTCCAGTTTTTCAGCAGTGAGGGACAAGAGCAGTTTCCTCTGAGAAATCTTGTCCCTTCAGCTGCTTGGCTGTGGCACAGTGCTGCAGATCCCTCAGGAGGGTCCTGGAAGAGCACTCTGTCTCCTTGGCCATGAAGAAAAATGTGCTCTGGTGGTTTCTGCAGTGGAGAAAGTCCACATTTCCTGTTGCTTGCTTCTTGACTTTAAAGGGGTGTTAATGATAAACTCTAAATCTATGAGCTTTTTTAGCCATACTCTGGAGTGATACTCCAGCAAAGTTAAGAGCAGCTTTTATTCTGCCATGCTGGGCAAGGTGGGATTCTTTAAATGTGGTCTTGGTGTACGACCAACAGCACATAACATACAAGGGGTTTTGGATTACCACAGGCAGTGAACTAAGCCTGATGCTGTATTCCTGATGCTCCTCTTTGTTTTCTCTTGTGCTGTGAATCACTGGAAATGATGGAACAAGAATCTGTTGATTTGGAATTAAACAAGAAATGAATAACTGAATCACTGCACTCCTGAAAACTTACTTTGGTTAGCTTTGGGTATGTTGGATATATGGAAACAGGGGGGTGATAAACATTAGAAACATTAGCTACATGATAAATAATGAATGGTTCAAAAGCCTCTTCAGCACAAGTGAAGTGTTATTACTCTGCTAGTAACTATGTAAGCTGTACTGGTTTTAAACAAGATATAGATTCAAGCATATATTTTAATTATACTCCTGTTAGTCTAGGAAAAAACCCTAATCCTGGTATTAATGAAGCCATGAGATTTATAATGATTTGCATATTAATGTACAAGCTAGAGTAAATGGAGAAATGCTTGCCCACAAAATACAGTGATTTGTTTAAATTTAATCTTTTCTTCAATGAAACACAACAGCAGTATAGAAAAATAAATGCTTATGCAATTATAGACCTGTTGATTGTACTGATATATCAGCTATCTACTTCATATATATACATATACTTCAGTAAGTATACTATATGTTAGTTCACGTAGATGTGTCAGCTAGACATCCTTGTCAGGGCCACAGACAGAGTTTATGCCATCTGTTCTATGACTGTGCCTGTAACTGTTTTAGTAGCTGACTGTTGATCTTTTTAGCTCTAACATGAATTAATAGTTGTACTCTGAATTCAATAAATACTCATAGTAAACCCTAACTCTGAATGTTTTGTTCTGTGCTGAGAACTGAAGAAAGCAGTAAGGAAGGCAGAAATAAAGATGCCCCAGTGCACAAATAACAGGGGTTTTACTGCATAACTCACTGAGTTATATGAGAACTGGGGAAAAGAGAGCTGCTTAGGCTGTGGTATAACTCTGGAGTTCCCAGTCAGGCAACAGTATTGTTTGATCAGCATGGCAGGTAGCACAAAAACTAAGGGGAAGAAAAAATAGTCCTCATCTTTACTACCTACCTGTCTAAGAGGTCAATTAGATCTGCCAGAGTTTGGCCTGTTTCTGAAGAAAGACAAACAAGTATTCTGAGTCTGCATAAACCTGACTGTGGCTACAGCCTGGGTCTTGAGCAGGTGCTGAAACCCAGAGGTCAGCATGCTCATCACTCACACAGGGTCTGTTTTCTTACTTGCTAATGCAATTTCCACTTGATTTTCACAGCAGAAGGAACAGCAGAGCTGGATTCCAAATCATACTCTCTAGGAATGCATGTGAGAATGTTTATTAGGATGTTTCCTAAGACTTCTCTTCCTAACTTAAACCTGTATTTGTCTAGAGTTTAACAGATGCTGTTTCTATACCCAGTTCTCAAACTCCTTCCCATCTCTTCCGCCTTCCCGACTGCCTCCCAGTTGAGTGGCTGCAACTTCTCAAATAATATGTCAGTAAAAAACATGTCACGGTGTGGCCATTGTATAACTCTTATTCAACGTGCACGTCATTTAGGCTTTCATTGGCAGCTATTTTGTGCCATTAAGAAGTTCAAGACAGCAATTTGCGAATCTTGCTCAGCCAAGTAGAACTGTGAAAAAAAGGAGTTATTTCAAAAGTCAATTAATGCTGGCCTGTCAGAGTGGTCCTCATTCAGTTTTTTTTTGCAGGCCTTGTCATGGGCTCACATCTGTCAGCCCACTGTTTCCCAGGCTGCTATCAGATGCTGTTACATTGAAAATAATGGGTTTATTCACACCATTTACTGGACTCTGTGTGGCAGACACATTTGTATATCATTTTACGGTGTAACAATTCCATTTACATAAAATATGGGCAATTATGTGAGTCCAGCCAAAGCACTGAGGGAGGGTGGGAGGAACCACCATTAAAATTATAAAAGCTAATTGAAAAGAGGCAGATAATTTAGTTGAAAATACCATCCTAATTTAGTTGAAAATACCATCCTGAGCAACACTTGATCCTCAATTAGTTCAACAGGAGGTTAAGGAGGTGAGTCAGTTGCATTATGTCTATGTCTGTATTAAACTCCTCAATGTTTTTCAATGTAAGAAAAGAATGTGTACTTTTTACAGCACCTCCATTCCATTTTACAAATAAAGTAGCTCTTGGTAGAGAGCACTTGGAAGAAAGTGGGGTTTTGCTTTGGGGTTAGGTTTTCCCCTAGCTTATATCTTGAGACAAAATGATAAATGTTAAGTATGACTGTATAAGTTACAGGAGCACAAATTACATTTCTCTAAATGATCACTGCAGATCACTGAAACCAAAACTCATCACTCTGAAATGGAGAAAAGCATTTAGAAAACTGTAAGTATTCTGAACTCTGACTTCCCAGGACTATTTTGAAAGCTTTGCTAAATTTCAACAGAGTGAGATCAAGACCATTAAAAAGGGAGAAAAGATAGACTCTTGGTCAAGGGCAGAGAAATAACTATTCCTCTTTCCATGTTAAGCATACAAATCTCAGTGCAGAATGAGATCTCAGGAGAGGTGTTACCACATGTGCTCCCTCACTGATAGCAGAAGGTATGAGATACGTGAGTCAGGGGGAAAGCTCAGCACAAGTCTGCAGTTTCAAGACTTTGGCTCATCGTTCCTGTGCCTTCCCACTAGAACCCTCAAGGTTTCTGAAAGTCACAACTTTGCCATTTTGTACTGGAACAGAAAACTTATTGTCCTACTTGGTTGTACAAACAAGGTTTTTATCCTTTTATCTGAGACAAAAGTTGAGCTTACATTGCAGTGAAAAATACTGAAACGTTTACCTTAAAAATAATAATAGGATTAGAGAAAGGGAGTGAATGAATCAAACTTCTAACAGAGGGAATAACCCTGTGTTCACGTAACTAATTTCCTCCAGAACAGTGTGTTGAAAATTCAGAGCATTTGAAACAGCACAGAAAAAGCAAGGTAGACACAAGGGAAAGACCAGCTCCATTCAAAAAGGGACAAATTCACTCTGCCATAAGCAGGGAAAACCTCATTCAAATCAGTCAGGAAGACTTAGCCTGCAGTGTCGTTTCACAAACCTTTACTTCATGGTGTTGGTCCAGTCAGTCAAAGTCTTATTAGAGATTCCTGTGGCTCTTTTGTCTTTCGATGTGCAGAGGAAACGTTCTGTCCCTCTTTTGATTTTCTAACAGACACATCAGGCACAAGTCCAACAAAGAACAAATGATTAAGTGAATAAAAAGCCCTGCTACTTTATGAAATGTTACAGATCAGAAGGATTATGGAAAAGGCTTCAGCTCCTTCCTGAAAGAGGCTGAAAGACTGAAGCTTGCAGTGCCAGAGGGGAAAATGGTCAACATGCTTTCCTCAGTAAAGATAATTAATTGGGTTAAATTCAACCACAGTAAAGAAAGAAGATCACTTGTTTGCTTGCGGTTGTTCACAAATGTGTTTTGACTAAAACTCAGGTCTTCCGTGCCCCATACTAGGCCTGGTTCTATCTTGAAGTCAGCACTAATGAAAGCTGTCACCCAAATTCCACCAAGAACTCCTCTTCCTGCCTCAACTCTCTGTATGTGAGACACAGATGCTGCCCTGCCCTAACCACAGCTCCTTGCTGTGACAATGGCTGTCTGCCTTGTCACACTAACAAAGTCACTGAAATTAGTGTATGACCTGATCTTATGTTACTCTTCAATTCCTTTACTGCTCTTGCACTGATTGAAGTTTTCAACCTTATCCCAACAGAAACACTGACCGCTTTGCCCCAGTTGACTCATGTTTGTATCTAAACATCCTCAGTCTTGATGTTGCAAGATTTGCACGAAATGTAAATAGCAGCAGCACAGCACTCAAAGGTAACACTGACTTTAGCACAGCAGGACTTTTTTTGAGTGTGGGCCCTCTATAGATTACGTATTTTCCTCAGAAAAAGTCAGAATATTTCTAACTTAATTCATTTTCTTAAACAAATGAAAACAAAAATTTTCTCCAGAAAAGCTTTTTACCCAACCACTTGGAGAAATTCAGGTGCCACTACTATCTCAACTCTATGCCATACAGGGAGATTGCACTCAACTAGAATTAATATATCCAACATCCAAGACCTCTGATAAGCTCCTCATTGTTCTCACTGATTGCAAGGATTTCAGGTTGCTCAGTGCAAGGCTGCCAAGCCGACAGAGCTGCGGATTAAATCACCAGATCACATGTGGGTTGAAGTATGTTGTTTCATTTCACACTGGGTTATTTTAGTTTTTCAGCCATACTTTCACAAAACTATTTGTTTGTTCTAAAAAGAACATGTTATTTAAAATGGATGATGCTCTGCGAAAGCAAGTATCAACTATGACATTAATGCTGTAAGAAGTGGCTATAGCCTCTATGAAAGACAAAACCCCACATAAGCCTGACACATACAAATATACAAATCAGGAAGAAATTCAGTACCTTTGATCTATACCAAAATAATATGTTTTATCTCATATTTAGAGTGTAAATATCAACCAAAAAAGAGTAAACCATTTAAAAACCTCAAGTGTACCATTGATTTCCAGCTCTCAAACCCTGAATATCCGGATATCCTTCAATACTTTGCAATGGCCAGTTAGCTCAGATTTTTCCTGATGTGCACTAATCAGCACCTCGAATTAGTTGTGGGGCCTGCACTAGGAATGCCCAGTATTACATTCTCATGCAGACAACACTACAACCAAAACTGATTATTTCAGTGCACTTCCCAAAGACCTTTTCTCATATGGCAGTGGTACTGTAACCTTAAATCTTAAACTAACAATAGTGTGTGTGCCTTTAACATAGTAGAATAAACCAAACCATTCTAACTTACTAACACGTAGAGAGAAAGGAATGTTCAGCTGATGGGGGAAGGAACATTATGGGACTGATAACAACTAAGAAGACGTAAATAAGACAAAGGATGCCAGCCTTCAAGATAGCAAAGTGGTCCCCAGCGTGGAGTGAGACTGGAACAGAACAGAAGCAAGGACATACCAAGTGCTAACTCAGCACTAGGGCCTTGCAAGCATGAGCAAGCACTGAGGTCATTCAGTAAACATAGTGAGGAAGACTACTGATGACCACCAAAGACCCCCACTCAACAAGAAAGCACATGTGTAATTAGGATGCAAATACTACAATTAGTTCCTGGAAAAGCTATGAAGATGCATGAGGATGCTAAATACATGTAGCTGCTGTCGGCAACTATCAGGCACGCTCGCCTTTGCGAAGTGATTCACATTTGCGCCCAAGCATTGCAATAAAGAATGCCGCTTTCTGAGACTCCACATTGAGTCCTGGAGAGTTTCTCCAACTGACTTTTACAGTGACAGTACAGTGTTAGTGTTCCCATTGGCTAAAGTGCAGTATCCCTCACTGGCCTGTCTGCATGGAGCAAAATCAGATGCTGTCAACTGTGCAGAAATCAACAGGGTGCTGCAGAATTACTTCAGCTGTGACTGAGCCCCAGAGGGTTGGTTAATCTCTCTGCTAACCCACAGCAGGCAAAAAACCTAGCAAACCTGCCAACTGCCTGAAGGTTTAGTAACTATGGCTAAGACTAGAGTTAGCATTCAAGAAAAAGTAAAACCAAAAGAAAGAAGAAAGGAAAACAAGTAGATATGGGGTAAAAGAGAAAAAAAAATCTAGAGAAAAAGCACATAGCATGTACACGGAGCAAAAGATGTTGAGAGAATTTTATGATACGGAGCACAGGCTGCTTTCTAACCACAACAAAAGACAACCTTTTCAAAAATCAGAGTTACTTTGTGATGCCAAGAAGATGCAAAAAAGAAACTAAAAAATGTGGACTAAAAGTCAAAGTTTACAGAGCTCACAGAGCCATTATCTTCAGGAGGTTCTCCAGGCCCCAGTTTTGATGAAATTGTTAGATTTAGTCCTTGGGTGTAATCTACTTCAGACTCAGTATCAAAAACTGGGCTGAAATTTCTGAAGCCTCAACTCTGGTGTCACTCTCTTCAGTTGAGCTGGAACTCACATGGGTTGGCTCCTCTTTCCCTTGCAGCCCAGTAAATGAACATGAAATCTTTAAACCGAGGAGCACAGCTCAGCCAAGCTTCACCAAAGTGTTCATTTCCAGTGAAAAGGAAATCTCCACCTCCCTTCTTCACCTTGCATTGCAGCAGGGTCCGGATAGGGCCTCGCCATTCACCACTTGCTTCATCCTGCTGGAAAATCCTGTTTTTCTGCCTGTAGACTTTGTGGACGCTGACATCAACCTGTGACATGTGGTTCTCTGAATCGTGGGAAACATTTCGGATAGATCCTTTCACCACTAGATGTGAAGAAGACAGAAGTTGGTTATGGAGCAGCAGGTAAGTACTTCAGGTACTAGGAACTCACTGAATGAAACAACTGGAGAAACAAGTTTGTTGTGCAGTTTGTACATCTACCACCTAAAGGTGGATGTATTTCTGAGCTTACATTGCATCCTGTACACAGAGAATCCTTATACAAACAGGCCAGGTGCTTGGAAGCGTGATTTGTGACTATTCAAATCATCTATCTGAGAAAGAAGCAGGTAACTTGTTTGGTAATGCAGAGTAGCAGTAAAGGATGAAAAAGCACATGAAAAAGGTCAACTCAGGGATTTGTTTTATTCAGTCTATGTTCCAAGACAGTGACTGTCACAGGCTACCTCCTTCCTGTCTGCAGGGGACTCTGAAGCTTTTCCTTTGACAGCAGTAGCACAGGGTGATCCCAGAGCTTGTTCAACATTTTTCATTTAAAGGTTTGGCACTTTTTTCCCTCCCTCAAATATCATCTATCCACCAAAAGACACTTTAGGAGATGACTGACAACATGCAGAACTCTTAAAGCAACTTTATTTGAAGCCTTATTTAAAAATCATACATCATGCATGTACCTCCTTCTCCCAGAATTATCTTGGGAATGAAAGCCTAACAAGCCATAGTCCTCCTGACTGAAAGCAGCCTTTGCATCAGCTGCATGGAGAATGAAACATCCCATCTGACAGATGTTTGCTGTTCTGAAGCCATCTCTCATTCTCATCACTCCCATTTTTCACAGCAATCAATTCTTCTTCTACTAACTGAATTAATTTCAATGCTTTATCCAGAAAGGCTCAGAAATATGCCACCATTTGAGCCAAGAGCTCTTGAGCAAATAAGAAGTTACCAATGCAATGGGAACATCACCACACTTCTGCTACACAGCTCTTTTATTCAGGTACAGAGAAGTCAACAACCCAAGAGGCAGAAAAAGCTTATTTCTGGAGTTTCTGGGAACATCCTCATTTAACCCAATTTCCAAGGGAATCCAGAATTTTGTGTAACAGATGTCTCTGCTCTCTGTCTCCCTCTTTGTGTCACCAGCTTTAACCAGATGCAGTCAAACCTATTGACAAGCCATAATGCCCTTGTTCCTGGTGCTCCATGTTGCTCCTGCACTGCTCAAGGCCTAGTGACTGTAGATCTCCATCTTATGAATAACTATAAAGCTCCTATTCACTCCCAGTGTCATTTACACTTTCATTAGTAGCTATTTTCTCTAATCAAAACAGTTGATGATGGCGATTTGTGAGCACAGGGCAAGGAAGTCAGGCCATAAATAGAACTGATTCAAAGGGCTATTTCTTCTGCTCTGTTGGTGCTGCAAATGTAAGTGTCCCCCATTGTGTGCCTGGGCCTCCACATCTGTCAGTCTCTGGTTTTTCAGGCAGTGAAGAGGGACAGCACCTTGCATGGGAACTGACAACTTCATCAAGAAGCAGCAATGTGCTGGATTGCATCAATTAATTTAGAAGAGAAAGAAAAACTGCCAGCTAAGGAGCACTTTACAGAAGCATGTTCTACACTCTGTATTTGTATTAGCACCAGGATGTCGGCATTTGATTTTATCAGTAGCCTTCAAGTATGGCAACCCCTAGTAGGAAAGCAGGAATTTGTGTGGTTTTTTAAACACTGAATAAGGGTAAATATAGTTCATAGTTTTGTTTCTATATGTAGATACATTTACAGCACTATAATTGCGGCCATGTGGAGACGCAGCTCTACAGCTTTAGCTGTTGGACATAATCAAAGAGGTACAAATTTTCATGTGCAAAGCTATGGGAACATAATGAACAAACCATGATCAAAAGAAAAAATATATTGCATTATTAAGTAACGAAAACGTAAAAAGCTTTTAATGTCCCATCAAATCACTATCTTATTATGGAATATTATCTGCTTTGTTTTGTCATAAGGCCTAAAATCTAACCAGTATATCACTGAAGGAAGTTTAAACCACCTGAAATCCTTAGCTAAATTACAAACAATTCACTACCCCTGTAGAACAACTAGGAAGTATGTAAATTGTGAGGAAAGAGAGAGGGCATATTCATCACTGGGGGATGAAGGGAATAGAAAGGAACATACCCAAGCACATAGAACACGTGTGTATGCGTGTCCAAACAAATATAACTTTGCTCTATGTGAGAGCCAGCAGCACACTTGTAAATTACTTTCAGTTTTTTTTAGAACACAATCTTTCTGCCTCCAGGAAATGAGGACCTTGAAGCAAAGCTTGTTCCTTCTGGGTCTCATTTCCCCCCCATTCCACTTCTTTTTCACACCAGTGAAAGCTAGTGATCTTTCTCAGATCATAGAGTATCGTCATGATGTTATCTTAAGAAGCAAATAAATCCAAATGATCAATGCATAATTAAAGACAGAAAAACTTTCACTTGTTCAGCTTACCAAAGTCACTGCTGCAAATGGCCATGAGGAGCTCCATGTTGTCACAAGGACGGCACATAGCTAGAAAAAAACAACAGTTGGTTACTGGTAATACTATACTGTGTCTCACTGCTGAAGGACTGGTGCATTACAAGAGGAAATAGGGCAGAACTACCTGGTTTAAGAGCATTATGATCAGCTGCAAACCAAAATTCTTGTTATGTAATATAAACAGAGCAAAGAAAGGATTATGTTGGTGTAAGAATAGGAAAGTAAGGTAAATGAAGTTCCAAGCAATTTAGATGGCTAATCCCATTTCCAAGAGATCATTTTAAGTTCCACTGACCATCCTGAGGCCTTGATGAATTTAAGTCCCTTCTGAATATGGTATCTAGGCTCCCTGCATCCACTCAGGTGTTCTCAGTGATGGTACTGCCAGGGGCTGAAGACACCCATGATCACAGTGCCCACATCCAGGACCCAGCTGGTTGTTAATAGAGAGACAGAGTTTCTCTTTACATTGCAGCATTCCCTCCCATGGCTACAGCATGCCCTCACATTGGAAATCAGAACAATCTCCCTTGCAGTGACAAACCCCTCATCCCAAAACATCTCCTTTCACCAGCACCACATAGGCAAGGTGAATGGATATTGGAAGCCACTTTGGATCTGCCCCAGCACCGTCACCCTGAGGCTGGCCCTGCTCTTACCTTCGACCAGTGCCATCTTTTTGAAGTCGGGGCTCGCAGCGCTCTGGTTGCTCAGCAGCTCATACTGGAAGCTGGCCATCCGGCGGCTGATGTCCCTCTGCGGGCTGGCCTGCAGGAAGAGGGCCACCCGTCGTGGTGTGTGGGCACTGAAGCAAGACACGTGGCGGGGTTGAGCCCCTTCTGCCTCGCTCACCACCAGATGCAGCTGCCCAGCACGTTCCACATAGATGCTGGCACCCTGGAAGTCACTGGCGGGCTTGATGCAGACAGTGGTGTGGTGGGCACTGGAGAGGTTGGGCTCCAGAAGGACGCGCAGGGCTCGTGCTGGGTACATCCACTCCAGGGAACCCTCAGTGCAGCGCAGATGAACCTGCTCCACCGCCCGGGAACGGGGCTCCCAGCTCAAACCACTGCCAAGACAAGACCAGGAGTCCATCACCAGCCACAGGCACAACAACCCTGACGGCTGCCAGGGCCACAGCTCCTGATCCTGGCTCTGACTCTGCCCTAGTGACGAGCTAAAACCTCCTCCAGCTGGGCTGCAGGGCAGCGGGGGGCTCTGCTCACACTCGGTGCTGCACCAGGCTGTGTGGAAAAGGAGCCTCAGCCCCTTTTGCCTGCAAATCTACACTTGGATGCCCGCAGCATCCAGAGGGATGACAGAGGGCAGATTCCCTCTGCCAAATTGCAACGAACTTCCTGATGTGACAGCACTGGCCAGCAATGAGCTCCTCACAGTCCTACCTGTAGGTGTGTGGGGCTGAGAGCCCCGGACCGCAGCAGGAGCTGCACAGCCAGCACTGATGTTACCTCAGACAAAATCATTTAAAACCCTACGTTTCTAAATTATTTTTAACGTTTTCAGTAAGAATTCATCAAGAAAACGTTTCTAATGAAAGCAGATGGGGCTGTCCCTGCTCCTCAGCTCTCGCTCACGATGGTGCACTACCCCTGCCTTCAGGAAAGTTACTTTTGCTTACTGACGAAGATTAAATCTATGAAAAGGAAAAATGCAAACCGCAGAGGGAAGGGATATGATTTCAGCGAAAGCTCTGCTAAGTGCTTTCCTGTCGAAGAAAACCCTCCGGCGAGGCGGAGCTACCGCCCGCCCTCCCCTGCTGCAACCGCCTGGTCCCTCAGGGCAGCCGGGACACCCTGAAGATGGAGCCGCCGGCCCCGGTTAAAGGATCGGGTCCGGTGCCCCCGGCATTGCCGTCCCCCTCCGCTCCCCCCCTACCTGCCCCTCCAGCTGCAGCGGTCGGCCCGGCCCGCTCGGTGCTCGCCGCCCGCCAGCAGCAGCAGCAGCAGCCGCAGGGCGATGAGGGCGGGCAGGCCCCGCGCCGCCGCCATGGCGGGCACAGAGGCGCGGGCGGGCGCAGGCCCGGCTATAAGCGCCTGAGGGGAGAGGAGGGGACGGGACGGACACACGGACACCCGCCGGGCCGCGGAGGGGAGGGGGAGGCCTGGCCACCGCCCGCCTCCATCCCAGGGCCAGGCAGCCCCCCTTCGCCTCCACAAAGCGATCCATAGTGGGTCCTCACGGCGGTTGATGGTGTCGACACCATCAAAGCCAACGCTGAATGACTGATGGAGACTCAATAGCTTAACTTTTGCTGTCACGATGACCTTTCGGGGGTCCGCGCACAAGGCTCTGCAATTACCACGCCAAAAGCCTCCCAATAATGACATTTCTATATGCATTGCTCTCTCCCTATTTCCATAGGGACACAGGGAGCTGCTCGTTGGCAGGTCAGAGCCAGAGAGGCTCCTTGCAGCAGCTCCTCGGCGTGGAATCGGGATTTCACGGCCGGCTGGGACAATGGCGCTGGTGCTGCCGGGGCACATGCCGGGACCCATGCGGCATTGTTCCATGGGCACCGGGATGCTCCGGCCATCTGTTACCTTGTGGTTAGCAGCGGGTTCTCACATTGCCCACAGATGCGCAAGGGAAGGGATGGGAATCGGTTCCTCCATTGCTTTTCTACAGTGAGGGCTTTTCCTGAAAAGATACTGGGTAGAAGTGACACCCTGAAATCAGTCTCAAGGTCTAACACTGGATCCCACAAATCTGACTTGAGCCCCCACACAACCCCTTTAAGTTCACCAACCAGTTCACACTTTTGCTTATATTACTGATGCGACGAATAGTAACGGACTAAGGAAAGGGTTAAGAGTTTTCTTCAAACTATGTATTGTCCTAACTTAGTATAGGGAACAGCGATGTTCTTGTTTTGCTAGTCTTGTGGTTAAATTGTAACTCAGAATAGAATAGGTAACTGAAACACTGTTTAAAATCATGGACCCTTTTCCCTCAAGAAGATGAACATCTGACAAGAACCCGTTTCAGCTACTCTCCATAAGACTTGAGGTTGCCAGCTGGGGGAACTGTGCCAAGGATGAAAAGTGCATGGCGAGGAAGACCTCTTACTTTATCCAGAATACCCTGGCCCAAGATCACCAGATGACAGCGCTCAGGTGCAGAGGGGAGGGGAATGGTATTAATGAGTTCTGGGAACTAATTGGAATCATCCCCTCCTATGCTTGTGAAATCTGATGAATATGTACGTGTGTAACAAATATCCAGCCTGTTGAGATACACGTGTGCAAGTTAGCAGGAGCAATGCCCCTCGCACCTGGCACCGCAATAAACATACCTGCTTTAGAACTCTTTGTGAGTTAAGAAGCTCTGTTCCGTAAAATCATTACGCAAAGGCAGACATGGAATTTCAGTCTGGACTGGGTTTTTTCATGTTCTTCCCCACACATACCTGTAGTGTGACTTCTCATGCAACTTTAGGCTAAAGCCTGCCTCAAGCTGGTGCTGTGCATGCTTCACTCCAACAGTTCTAAAAGCAGTTAAAAAGATATTAAACCTCAATCTTGATTAACGTTACTGCCAGTGATTCTCAAAGCTGTGCAACTATTGCCTTCCCCAGCTAAGGAAAACCCTGCTGAATGTCTATGCTCTGACCCCAGCTTGAATGGAAAACAGCACACAAACAGGCTGGAAAAGGCTGGATCGTGGCATAATGCCAGAGCTAAAAGGCCAGAGCCTGTTCTCTCTTTTGTGCAAATGAGATTGGGGAACAGAGGAAAGGGCTCGGGAGGGAAGTGACACTATGATAAAGTGGCCCTGTAGGAGGATTTATTCACTTCCAAAAGCCCAAACCACCCCATCTGCTGCCTCAGGAGAAAGCACTGAGCCACTTGATCTCTGAACCTCTTCCAGCAGCATTTCCCCTTTCCCTGGAAAACCCCTTGTGGATTTTGCTGAGTTGCACTCTCTGCAGCCCTCCCGCCTCCAGTTTAACATCCCAGAACACCAAAACACCTCTTGTTCAAACTCTTATCCAGAAATTGCTCTTTACAGATAAGAAAGTGGCAGGCGATTCCCCCACTTAGACTAACTACAGACTGTGCGTCACAAAGTGTTTTAAGATCCCAAATTACTGACAACATCACGGAGCAGGAACCATGTAGGCATTTCATCTCGCTAGAGAAGCGTGGGGTTTTAAAACCCTTTTAAACACAACCATTGTAAAGCCACACAAATTCAGCTTTTCCCTAGGGGTGAATACCTTGAGGAAAAGGATGGACCAGAAGGGGGCAAGCAGCTGCTGAGACGTTGTAGGTTACCAACAGTATTAGTTTTACCTCTGGATGACATTCTCATGTTGTCTAGAAATTTTTCCATGTATCCAAGGTTTAAAATGCTTGGACTTTGTGGCAGGAATCTCAGGCACAAGCATGGCTGCAGTGTTCAACAAGATACAACCCTGATCTCAAGATGACCAAGCTGATCACACTGCAGCCCTCTAAAAGCCAGGCAGCTATCATCACTGTTGTTACAGACCTGAAAACTCACATTTGCTTCTAGTGAGGAACAAGAAAAATTGAGTTTAAATACTTTAATCCACACACTTTACAGAGAAACACAGTAGAAATAACAAGACAACAAAAAGATGCATTAGGAAATTCAGTAACAGTGTCAGTGCTGTGAAAAAAACTGCATTTACAAAACTCTATGAAGAATATGGAGCAGATGTTACTCAGAAGAGCACTGGGGAGCTGAAGTCACAGAGACAGGCCGTGATACAACTGCCTGAAGATGAGTTTTCTTCAGTTTCACCTGTGTAAATGTGGAGTACCAGCAGACAACCAGCAGATTTCACTGGATTTGCAGCTTCTCACAGACAGAACCTGGCCCAAATAATCCACATCACCCATATGTAATGATTTGAGCAAACATCACAATTACAGGGGGCAATGGTATCATCAACCAATTCAGAAACACTGGATGAAGTCAACGAGGGTTCAGAGCAGAGGCTTTTACGAGACATTCCACAACCACACTTCATGTGCCTACACAGCAAATGAAGAACATGCTGCCCACCTTTTATGACTTAATAATAGTTTTACAGTGGTACCTCCTTATCCTCTCATTTCAGCCTGCTGCCTTTTAAAAAACAACTGGAAACACTTTGGGGTTTGAAAGCATCACCTGGTGTCAAGAAAAAGAATTATCAATGTTTGACTTTAAACATTTATATTGAAGCTTCGATACACTGTTGGCTGTTATTTCTTTGCAAAGAATCTCACACTTCACTGCTGTGAGCAGTCAGGTTTGCTCTGAAATTCTGTTTCCTGGGAAGAGAGGTGGGAATGGTAAGGACAGCTTCAGCTTATGTTTGGGCACTAAATAACACCTACCTCAAACTGGACCGTAAGGAAACGGTTGCTCTGTCAGGAGCACACTGATCACTCCCACCTTACTGTTTTGTGGGAAAACCAAGAAGTACTGAATCCAAAATGCCACCTATATCAGTTGAAAAAAAACCCTAAGGTGTTATAAATTCTACTTCCTCATCTATTACTTGCATTTTAAGCTCACTTTTTCCCCATTCAGTGCAACTTCAGAATATATGCATAAACACATTCAATACAAATCACAAGTCACAGCATCACAGTAGTTCCAAGCTAAAGAACAAACTTTTTTATCTTCCCAACTCTTAACATGCTGGTATTTTCTTGCAAGCTGTAATTACTAATTTAAAGTTACAGCTCTTAAAAGTAACATTTTTACAGTACTCTGACCACGAATTACTAAATAGAAGTCACTGCTGTACAGATTGAAGTTACAAGCTACAAAAATAAAAATCCTTTCTGTTTAACTATAAAAACCCTAGAAAGAGGAGATGGCTGGAGGTACTTACTCTAAAGATCACAATGGTTGGTAGCAGACGAAATGGCTTCTGAGGGATGTAAACTTTGGGTACAGAATGCGATAAGCTCACAATGTAAATTCCCACTTACTCTTAAAAAGAGAACTATTTTCACACCGCAATATACAAGCAAGTTGCAAATAAAACAAATGCCAAAAAGTGAATTACATCAGTAAGGGTACACAGCACAGGAAAGAAAGCAAAATTTTGGTTACATTCATGCTTTTGAATAGTTAAGGGCTGGATCCTCAGCTAATGTAAGTCTGTGTAACATCACTAGGTTTAGTCAAGGCAGGTGGCTTTACTCCAGCTAGAGGTCTCTCCCTGAGATGCCCAAAACCTGAACTGTGTTATCAGCACACTTAGTGAGATAAAAAGCTGTGATCATGCTGAGCTTTTAGAACGGTGGCCTAAACGAAGGTGAAATAGAGAATGTCTAAATTCTCTCAATATACTAAATAAACAAGTGGTCTCTGTTGTCTCATTCTTATGCTCAAAAAGCAGCTATAATTTACTAGAAAATAAGTCAGCATTTTAAAATAAGTGGTTCACATTCATCAGGAGGAGTTAAGTACTAGTATTTTTAAACCAGAAGATATCCTAGTGTACTCCTAACTGAAGGGTCAAATCTTCCTTTCTTTTCCAAAAGGAAAACTGCTAGTAGTTGGTATGGAACACAGAACAAAAAAGGTCTTTCAGTTAGAATACATGCAATGGCTCCTAAGTGTCCTACTTACCCACAGAATAACTAGGTTACAGTGGTACTCTACCAAAAAGCATTTGTTGCTAAGTAGAAAAGGCTAACTCCTATAACAATGATACCATTATGCTGTTCACAGCTAAGGTACAGTGCTTGAAGTTTGTTATTAGTTTTTTGGTTTCTAAACCAGTGAGATACAATAACACACACTATAAAAGCTGTGAGCTTCAGTGCAACATAATACAGAACCAGAAGGAACCGGCCAAACTGAAACCAGAACCTTTAACAATCAGTTCTCAGAAGCTGTGGGGAATGGGGAGGTGCCTCCCCAGCAGCAAAGAGCAAAAATTGGACATTGAGAATAGGTCAGGGGTCTGGGAGCCTTTGGAGACCTTTCTGACATCTTCCAGGTGTGGTGGTGGTGACTGAAAAAGCCAAACAAGTGGGTTTCTGGGCTAAGAATAAGCTGGGTGAAGCCGTTCCAGTGTTCCTTTCTAACAAGCTATCTGGCATGAGGGATAAAGTGGATAGAAGAGAAGCTCACTATTCTGATTTAATCAGAGCTTTTGATGCTGTCTTGAATTACATGTTTAGCTGAAAGTGAGCCAGCATAAAATGAGTAATCCAATAACTGAGGGAAAGAAGTACTTACTGTGTAGTTGTAAACACTAGAAAGCAAAATGTATGGGTAAAATGTATTCTCAATCTGAATTAGCTGAAGTCATACAGAAGAAATTTTTAACTTACTTTTGCTATAAGCATTGCCTCAACAGGATGTCTTTCTCCAAGGGCGTTCAAACAAGGTAGCATTTTCTTTTACAACCAGAAGAATCTCAAGTCTGTTTTCTGAGAGCAAGTACTTAAAGCTTCTAACCAAAGTAAATGGTGTTTCAAGTTAGTGCTTATGAAAAGCAAGACCTGGAATAAAAAAACCTATGAAGGGGCAACACTGAAAATGAACATACAAAAAGAGTATCAAATGCATAAATTACATTATATAGTTCTCACATTATGAACATGAAATGCAATTCATAACAGCTGAGAAAAATATTCAAGTTTGAACAAATTCCACATTAATTTGAAACAGCAATATTGCAACTGCAGTAGAAAACACAAGATTATATTAATAACTGCAATAATTGCAAAGTGCTGTTAAAAGTACGCTCTAAGCACTACTCTAACCTGCTTTAAACACCAAACCAACAGACATACATAGAAAAAAATTACCTACGTGTATGCTACTCACTTCCTCAGCTGTTTCTGAAGATGAAGAATGCAAGTTTGAACTTCATACACCTTTCTAAGAAGTCCAGACATGGAGAAAGACAGAAAATGCTGGTGGCATCTGAAACAGTTTAACCCTGCTACGAATGGCTGAATTGAAAACACAAAGTAAAACAGAGCCTACAACAAGAAACTGTGCACAGTTAAGCTAGTGTATGCAGCATTAAAACCTCAGTAATTCACTTTTGAGTGCTTGACACTTGATGGTTGTTATTCACCGGTGCAGTTTACACAAGGGTATAACCGAGTGAAGACTGCCAGAGGGAACTATTCATGACTTGTCTTTATGAAACATTGCTTTTGGTATTTTTCCAACGTTAAGCATCAACAGGGTCAGGAAAAATTCCTCAGGGCAGGGCAGGGCAGGGCATGGGACCCAGCTGCAGAGCACCCTCTCCTGGACAGAGAACGTACTGCAGTGTTTTCAGGTTTCCAATTTCTTTTCACAAGAGCTACAGAGTAGCTACGTGTTGTGGGGCTTTTTGCAGCTACCATGTTAAAAACGCATGTAACAGGTTTACAATCACAACATGACAACATCAAGCAGCTATAGCTATATACAAATTAGAATAGTGCATTTATGCTAGCGTTAGAATCTGGAAGCCCATTGCTGACATTTATTGCCTGCAATTGGACATCAAAACAATCCCATGAAACTAATTCAAAACAGGCTTTAACCCAATTTGGAACATCCTGGAAAGGAGGATACATAGAAATCCAAGGACAGCATGTTGGAAACAGCAAGATTTCCCAAGAGATTCTAGTGCTAACATTGTATGTTTAAAAACAACTTTTGGTCATGCATAGGTCAGCTACAGACAGTTACAACAGACAGATGATCCCATGTGTGATTGGGAACTGGACACTCCAACCTTACAGAATATTCTCCACACCACAAATACAATTTACAAGAGGCTTCCCCATCCTTACAGTGGCTACATTTGCTACCTGTCATTTGCAGCAATCACTAACAGCTTGTGAAACACAAGCTTATTCCCTTCCACACGCAAGAAGGGGATGATCTGTCCCATGAAACAGGGCTATTTACCAGGGTTTTCCCAAACAAGTACCCAATTAGATGCTACTTTCACTTCTCCTTTGTTTCTCCAACAGGAATTAAGGATTTCCACTTCCCAAAGGGGATTTCACACCTTTTGAGTAACTGGGAGGATTCTGCCTGCACAAACATGGTAGATCACTGGTCCCCACTTGGGCAAAGCACAAGTGGAGAAGCCAGCTCACTTCCTGCACAAAACGGGGACTTTCAAAGTCTTGGCATCAATTATTTTTCTTCTAGATATCAGGAGTCCAAAGAGTGAAGTTCTTGACCAGGTAAAGGTTCTTAGGCTATAAAACAATTTGCACAATCACCTGCTCAGCTTCAGGTAACTCTAAGCTGATTATGAAGAGCTGAGACTAAGTAGCCAGTGATGCTGTTTCCCTTGAGAAAATACTGCCTTTCATAGCATATACCCTGCTTTTCCAGAGAGGTGGCATTTGCTTGTAAACAACAGGTAAGAACCATAGCAAAGATCTTCACTATTTTAAGGATGCCTATGGTTACATATATAAAAATAGTAACTTAGCTAGTGAGATCTTTGAAGCTAATACAAATTGAAGCTCATAACTAAAAAAAGAGGTTAGTGGATTTCTCTAACACAGCATACTTTTGGGTATTTTAAATGCTTTTTACACAGTTTTTGCTATTCATTTGTTCCCCATATTTACACATAATAATTAAGTTGAGGTGTATAAAGCTAATGAATGTGGAATTTACACATGGCTTCTGCTTTACAGTGCATTACAGTCTAATCAGATTTTCAGACAGCTATAAATTCACTGACAATCAGTAGTATTTAAGATCTAGTACATACATTTTCTACAACAAATACCATCAAGTTAAAAATGCTCTCCAAAGAGGATTACAATTGAAGGTTTTAAAAATACTGACTTTGCCAAGGTTTCAATAAATTATTTTAAAATATAAATAGTTCATTCACCATTAATGCAAGTGTCATTTTACAATTGCTGAAAAACAGTTTCAGTTTACAAAACCTAGAAACACAGCTTACTTTAGCCAATGGTATCACTTTCATTAAGTAGAAGGAAAAAAGGGGGAGGAAAAAAAAAGACACAATCACCAAAATAATGGAGGAGTTCTGACAAAAGCAGCAACATTCAAAGTTTAAACCAAAGCTCTCATTTTCTGTTACCATCTTGGCTTATAAAAGTATACATTCAGCATAAATTCTCTTCCTACTTGGAAGATCACCTTCAGTAACTCAACTGGACTCAACTGAATTACTTAGAGACAAAGTTTAAACCTCAGCTCATAGCTCTCACCTGCTGCAGGCTTTAAATACCCACAACAGAAAAGAAAAAAGGAAGCAGGTTTTTACTTCTGTTAACCATGAAGATGTGTTCACCTGAGAAGCTTTTAACCTGAGAAGCTTCAGATACACCAAACTGACAGTTTCCATGTATTGTTGTATGTGTTCTTAACCTGTACTATCAGTACAGATCACCAATCTTTTTCTCACTATATAATCATATGGGAAATGAAGTTTCAGGTCCAACATGGTAACTCTGACCCTCCTAAGAGCCAGCCAGAAGACAAATGCTTCCATGCTCTTTCCCCCCCCAATCAAATTATACACCTGAACACCAGAACTTGCTAACTTCTATCAACTTAGCTCTTAACTGCCACACTTAAAATTGAAACAGTTAACAGACTGGCTTGCTCCTGATCATTTTCAAGTGATGATGAAGCAGGATCTTTAAGAAACCCAAGATGACTAACACACACATTTGCCAATCTTCGTTTCTCTAAACCCCTCCTCTAAACAGCTAAAAAGAGACAGCTCCTTTGTCTAAGTTTTCCCTCAAAAAGCCTCCTCAAGAACTATGATGTTGCTATTTACAAGAACTATAATTAGTTTTTCACTGAACTGAAGCAGAGTCAGTCACAGGATCATTCAGTGCAAGTCATGGTACAATTATTTTGAAGTTGTACCTTGGCTACTTGGGACCTCAGGAGTATTCTATCTATGGCTTATAAAACCACAGAAAAAGGTCATTTGCTAACACAACACTTCCAGAAACCTTCGGTCCAAACGCATCTTTCTTGCTAACCACCTTCCCAATAGCTCCCAGATCCTCTGCTCTCCCAGTCAAATCTGTAAGATACACCCTGCACAAGCAGGAGCATGAAAAGGTGTTTGTGTTGCTCCCAAGAAGAGATGGCAGCCAGGAGCTGGCTTTTGTCAGAAAACCACCTCACACCCTACTCGGTCTGATTTCTGTTCTGGGGGAAAGGGCAGGTGGAACAGGCCAAACTCCAGCTGTTCCCCATTCCAAGGGTATCAAACATTCTGCACACTAGACTGTATGAGCAGAAGATCTGATTCCGCAGCAAGGGAGGGCTGAGGTATCTGTCTCTTTCCTGCCATTAGTATAACTAATTCCTCCAGCTAGAAAGGCTGGGCATTACCACCAATCTAAAAGGCAAAACAGTTGTGGTCATTCAGCTGTGGATGTTTTCATGAATGTAAAAGCATGGCTTCTTCCTCAGCAGTAGTTCATTCACAAGTATGAACCTTAGGACACAAACTCTAATCTAAATTAGGTGTTCTCAGTGTTTTTGAAGGAGCTGAAGTTCACTGCTGTATTCTGTTAAGTTCCACAAAATCTATGTATCTTCATCCGTCAGTTCTCTCATGTGGTCTTCCTCAGAACTGCTGGAAGTATCATCATCTGTTTGTTCACCCGAGTGATACAGCATCAGTGCATGTGTCTTATGAGTTATGGTAACAGTGCAGGGCCCCTGAGCCCATGGCTCTCCATCCACCTGCATCGGCATCTTTGAACTCTTCAAGATCAGCTAGTATTAAACAGAAGAACACACAATCACAGTGGCTCAGAGGAGCTCTGGAGATCCCTTTTACAACAACAACAACATGCTGATGCTGTGTATTAAAAAAAAGTAAGTTAGGGGAAACAGGTTCATCACTGCCACTTACCCTCACTGTATGTGCCTGCCCCAGGCGAACAGGATTTGCTAGCTTCACCTGAATCTGGGCACAGTGGAAAGAACCATGAACACCGACAACCTCCAGAAGTCCATCATCATGTCTATGCATTAAGAAAGAAGACACTTTTTACTGATGCTCATGAGCCCTAGAATACCTGTCCAAATATTACACAGTCCTTTTATGGCTATTCCTATAGCCATGTTATTCTACAAATATGTTTAAACTGTCTATTTGTGCTGGCCAGGACTGAAGAAATCCCACTGAGCAGCAAGGGGAGTCACACAGAAACACAAGTACAGAGCAATACACCAGCTGGTACACCCCATCTAACTTCTGGAAACTACAGATGTATGACTTAAGCCCCATCGTGCACATTTAAGGCCCACAGTGGATTTCTCTTCCATAAATGTGTACAATTTTCTGTCTTTTCATCCAGTTATTATTCTACAGGAAAAGCTTCTAATGGCCTAATTCTTTAGATTTTGGTAAAGCACCTTGCCCAAATATTTTTCAGAAATCCAGGATCATGGAGTCTCCCTCTCTCCCTCTCTGGAGGCATTCAAAATCCACACGGACATGTGTAACGTGCTCTAGGAGGCCTCGCCTTGGCGGGGAGGCTGGACTGGATGATCTCCAGAGGTCCCTGACAACCCTAATGGTTATGTGGTAAGTCTTGTAACCAAACTCTGAATTATATTTATATATGGCTTCTGAAGAAGGAAGTACAAGAGGGAATAACTGATGTGTCCAGCTTTTCTGCCTCATAGTATTGCTCCAGCCAACTTACTCAAGCATGGCAGTCAAATTTTTGGCTTGAGTCGTTTTTACTTTATATTTTAACCTCTATTAAGACATGTTCATTCATATTCTCAAATGGACATATCTGCTACTTTTTGAAGGCTACCTTTATTTCAATAGCCTCTTTGATGTTATTGCTTAATCATGAGAAGGTCTTAAAAAACACCTTCATGTGTGGGATGCACTTAGGCCAAATCTCTAACATGAAGAAAATAATAAATCCTAGATAACCTGCTGCCACAAGGAATCCTTCTGACTCTCAAACAAGTCTAACTACATAAGTACAGCCCAGGAGAGAACTGCTTGCACTAGAAGAGTTATTAAAGGCAAAAATAAGAAGAAGATGCACTGTGTACCTTGCCAAGGGGTAAGGTTCATCACCCACTCCTTCCCAGAGCCTGCAGCCGCCTCCCCAGTATCCAATATTCAGGACAATGATGCCTTCCAAATTGGGCAACTCAATTTTCTCACCATCCAACTCTAGCTTTAAAAGACAAACAGAAGTTTATTATTGTGGATCAAATTCAGTACTTCAATATAAGCTGGTTATTCTCTTTAGGCATCTAAGAGGCTTCCACTGGAAGAAAAACTGGCCCTGTACAAATAGAACATGTTTTCTTCTCATACTTTAAAAAAATGACTTCTGATTCCAAAAGATATCCTAAGCTTTAATAGATTTCTGTTAACAGAGAACAGAAAAAGGAGCTCTCACTTATGTAAATCTCTGGTGTAAGGCAAATTTTATCTGCGTGTCAGTACCTGAACTCACAGAACTGAGTCAAGGTCATAAAATAAATAGGGATTTTCAGTAAGCTCAAAGACATGAATTCCATGAAATACGTCAGTGTTCTGTCTATCTGCAAAAATACTCCAAGTCCAAAGCCATTCTCACAAAAGAATCATACAGATACAAGCTGCAAAGCTTTCCCCCTTTTCTTTCACAAGGAAAGTTTTGACACTTCACCAATTGTTCAGAGGATAAGCAAGTTAAAAAACTTACCTCAACCTTTTTGTTAAGATCTTTACATTCCTGTACTAAGCAGTCTTTGGTTCCATAAAAAAAATAAACTGCCTGTAAAAAAATACCCCAAAACAGGGAGAACAGAAAACACTGTTAGAAAAAGACAGACCATATCAAGAATATGAAATATTCATGTGTAGTTGTTATTCTACAAACCTTATCTATTATTAATATGTATTTGCACATCCTTCAGCTAAGCTCTCTTCATGAGAGAGGCTACAACTTGCGTAAGAAACTTGCTCTCCACATTAAAAGGAAATAGGCAATGCCTTTAATCCATTAAATTTCTGAGCAAATGAGACATTCTAAATCAAAATTGAACAGTATATTCCGTAAGCAAGAAAGCAGAGGCAAGAGAGAAAAGTGAGCTCAGACTCTTAAAATGGAATGAAAGGAAGTAGCGGAGTAAAGCAATGTAAAGCAAAAAATAGCCTTAAGTTAAGAACTACAAGGAGAAAAATGTTACTTCATCAAACAGACCTTGTTAATAATTCTGCTGGAAAACAGAGAGGGAGTCTTCTCACGATGAGCATGAAAATTTAAAGCCATGAGAGCATCAGGTCCTATAGAGAAGTAGTTGTTCATTGTGAATACCTGTAGAACAGAGCTTGTAGTTATGGTCTTATTAAATATCATTATCAGGATATAAAAGTCACAGTGTTTAATGGAAAATGGGTAACCAGAAAAATTAGTATAAACACCCAGGTATTCCACAGAATCCATATTTATACTTGCAAACCATACCTTTGGTTTCCTTAAGTTGTAGTATCCTTTGTTTGTTACTTGAACCTTCCATCTGAAAAACAACAGCATTACTTAGACCCATGACAGACTGTTCTCACTTAGCATCAAAGCTGTAGTTAGGAATCTCATATCTATACTGGGATCAAATCAAAAGATTCAAATTTAGTTAAATTACAAAAAAGTTAAGCCTTGTAGAACAACTAAAGCCAGACTAATTTTGGGCCTCAATTATTTTCCAGTTCCCTCCACCAATACTTGTGTTTCTTTATATATACTGCTGCAACTGGCTATCAGCAGAGCTATAGTAGTATTTGGTTCTATAGAACTTATCTTGCCACTGTTACTTACCTGTCTAGTTTGATTCCATCTGCCTCCATGACATTTTGTAAGATTTGTTCTACAGGGACTTCTCCAGCATAACCTGCACCCCAGCCCAGTGTATTAGACAGGTCATTACCTGTTCCCAGGGGTAAAATTGCAACTTGTGGAATATAACGTTCTTGCCCCTAGGATACAAAACCACTGCATATTAGCTCCTCCTTCAGCACGCATTTTCTCCCTTTTATCCCCAAATGTTCAGGTTAGATAAATATCATTAATCTTCACAGCAGGTTGTTACATAGTGCAGAGCAATAGAGCTGGCAGCAGTAATAGCAGATAGCACATTTAGGTACTTATTGTAGAGATAATGCAGAAGGAGGAAATGTTAAAACATTGCGAGAAGAGAATACAAACACAATATGGAAACAATGTGTTATTAATACTGAACGGAATATTCCTTCACAAAGATGATGCTTTAGATCTAGAAGAGGAGCTCTGAACGTGGCATCTGATTTCCTGACTTGCTGTAGCCACGGTAAGTTACTAACACTATTACTGCACATAAGCAATAATAGATTTTTTCAGGTATGTGGAGAGGGACTTTTTACAAGGGCCTGTACGGACAGGACAAGGGGGAATGGCTTTAACCTGCCAGAGGGGAGACTGAGCTGAGCTCTCAGGCAGAAGCTCTTCCTGTGAGGGTGCTGAGGGGCTGGCACAGGGTGCCCAGAGAAACTGTGGCTGCCCCATCCCTGGCAGTGCTCAAAGCAAGGCTGGATGGGGCTTAGAGCAAGCTGCTGTAGTGGAAGGTGTCCCTGCCCATGGCAGGGGGCTGGAACTGGATGAGCTTTAAGGGCCCTTCCAACCCAAACAATTATGGGATTCTGTAACTCTGAGAAGTGATATGAACACTAAGAGAGACATAACATATGGCTGTGAACCATCAGGAGAAACTGAAATGCTCTTAGAAGACTATAGTGAGGTTAGGTCTGAAACAGCAGATGCACGTAACGCTATAGTATTCAGCCATGGACAGAAATTCACATACTCAAAGAAGGAAAGTCAGTATCTAAGTTTCAGTGATGCCACATGCACTCACAGATCCAACTGCCATCAGCAGATGGAGCAGATGATAATCACCTCTGCAGATCAGAGGGGAAGTGACAGCAGCAGGCATTCAGAATGGCCACCTCAGCAAAGGTTTTTGCTCTCTTGACCATAGAAGGACGGAGAGTTATTTCAGATTTATTATGGCCTTTGAAATTCAGCTGTGAAAAGTACTTGCAATAAGCGGCATTACGGTTACTGTTTTTTCAAGGAGTTATCAGCTAGGTAACCTGTGTTTGAAAGTCAAGATAAACGAAGGGAGCAAATGACCTATTGCTGATAATAAAAAGGTTTTGTGGATAATCTCATCAGTATTTATCTAACTCCCATGACTCACTTTGAATACTTGGAAACAAAAACGAACACAGATTTAATCAACTATGTTGGCTCTGAGGGACAATATATCAGGTGCCTAAGACCAAGTAACCACATACTCATATTCATTAACCTTTACAGTTAGGCTTTGTTGCATTTATACTTTATCAGTACATAAAAGTCCTGATATAAGCTCAGTTTGACTATGCACAAAGTAATAATGGCCTTCAACTAAAACATTTTTTGTATTAACAGGAAAGCCACAGCAAAATACCCCAAACCAACAACAAAATCCACATTTATATAAGAGGAGAAACTTTCTTCCTTTTATTACTGGAGAAAAAGTTTATAGGTAAAGCACTAAAGCCCAAATAATTCTTCCTTTTTTATTTTCTCAATAGTTCTAAGTAGCCCTGTAAACTGCAATATCTTCCATTTCAAATCAATGTGAACATACAGCTTAATTTTCCTTCTCTACTTGGTGTCAGCACAGGCTACAGTAGCCTGCAGACTGACAGCTCTGACAGGCTCTTTAGAATATATGATAAGGAGCAGAAGCAAATGACTGCACTCATTCATGCACTGGAAATATAACCAGTGTAGCCAGCAGCATTATGAGGTTATTATACAAGATTGAGTGCATTGGGAGAAATGACTAGTCAGAGCACATTAGCAGCAATGCCATTTAAAGCAAATCTGTTTAGACAAAGAGGAAAGAACACCACATAAAATATTCTGCAGCTTGTTCTTTTCTTCTTTTACAGAAAAGAACAACTTGAAACATCATTTAAAACATAAAGCTGTCATATTTTTCCTAAACTACCAGGGAAATGGTATGAATAAGCAATTCTGCAAATATTTCTCTCTAGGCTTATTCAGTAAAATGAAAACAATAAATGCAGGTTAAGAGATCAGGTGCAGCACTTCAGCAGCTCCAAAACTCGTTTCTCCATAAAACATCTTTTAACTTAAACCACAATACCTTTATCTTCATTTCATCAATGGCATCCAGGACCCAGCCTACTGTGCCATCCCCACCACAGACAAGAACCCTGACAGCGTTGCAAGGCAGCAAGGTACAAAGTTGGAGTGCTTTAGCAGGTGTGATTTTGCTTAGATCAAAAACCTAGAAGAGAAGAAAATGAGGAGTTCCCTGAGTTCACAGAACACGACTCAGGATTTGCCTTGCAGATAAACAACTTCAAAAAGCTCATTCTCATGCAAAATAAAGATTTTACATTTACAGTATTATATTATGAGCTGTCCTGACTTCTACAAGCAGGATTTGGTTTCCCAAATTCACAAGACACCTCTAGCTGCTTCACTGGGAATAAAAGCCATTGATAAACTGAGCTGACAGTGTTCTAGGGAAAGTCTCTATCTAGAGGCATTATGATGAATTCTGTAGAGAAGAAAGACTTCAGATAAAGGTTATTTTTAAATACCCAGCACAAAAAGAGGTTAATTCTTTAAAGCCTGATTGGAATGCATTTAAACACACACACACACATAGTGATTTCTACTAGCCTGTATTCCAAGGCTGTGTTTTGAACTTCAAAGGAAGACTCTTAAGGTGCAGCCAGGAAATCCAAGGAACAACTAACTGCCTTATGTCAACATCCTGGTCTATCCCCGTGGATTTTAAAGGAAAGCAACAACACAAAGCAGCAACTGCAAACACTGACACTTGCACAAGTGAGGATTTAAACAAATGCAGTTTTCAAATTAAGATCAGAAAGTTTCATTTTCTAACAATTGCATGCAGTTTCAAGAGCCAAACACTTATCATTAACAGAATTACTGCATCTGTTACTAGAAATAAAACCCTGGACTGGTATTAGAACCGTAACAAACCTGGGGGTGGGAGGAGCCTCTGCAGTTTCAGTTTCTCTCTTATAAAGCTGTTCGTTCTAAAAGAACAAACTGCATGAATTTTGTTTGCTTTACTGATCCTCCATAAGATCCTACTACCACTGTGTAAGCAGAGCCATGTTCTACTTTAAGCTTATTTTATGATAGTGGCTTTTCACTGTAAATACCTGAACAGGGTTCAGCAGAATTTTAAATTCTCCTAGTAAAGTTTCACCCATGTTGTTTCCACTGCGAGTATTGGCCAGTACAATTACTGGCATCCAGTGTTTTCTGCAGTAAGGTGCTACCTGCAAAAGGGTAGAAGTCAGTCAGACAAAACCACTGCACATTTGGAAACGTTTACAGCCCTGCTCCCTGCAAGCGTGTAAATGAGGAAGTTATCAATTAGTCTGAGGCAGTCAAAACAGAAACATAAAGGTTGAAGATCTCTGTTCTGCAGTGCCTAGGACAACAAATACTACAATGTTAGGAACACAGTAGCAGAAAAATCACAAAACATTCAAGCAATGTACCCAAATCTCACTGTTGTTTTGGAGTAACAAAATCCAAATGTATGCTCATGCTCCAACTCCGTTAGAGAATTAACACTACAAGTACTTCATACGTATTGAAACATTCACCTGAGAGTGATTGACCTGACAATGTTCTGAGTTCAAATTTTAATGTGTGTAGGGGTTTTTTTGCTTGTTTGTCAGGGGTTCTTAAAAATACGTTAAAACCCAAGCAGCAGCAAACCATTACCTTTTCATAATCAGTTCTTTTCTCTTTACGCATCTGGTTGATTGTAGACAAATAGTATGGTGGAATAATTAAATCTCTGAATTCTCCAAATGTACACTTCTGTGTCTTTAAATAATCCACCATGCATTCATCGTGGACAGTGTACTGGCACCACACACATCTGGAATAAAGACCAAAAGCCATGGAAAAGAAATCCTCAAACAACCGATACACCGATATTGCTCATTTATTTTAGACACCCTAACTCTGAAAAGTGCTTGCTTACATGCACCACTGTAAGTAGTATTTTAAACACACTGGCTACAGAAACTCACATAACTAGGCCATTGTGCTTGAAAGTTTAGAAAAGCATTTGAATTCTGAGGAAAAAAACCCAAACCCAATGGCTTAAAATTAACTCTATTATTTTTAATTCCAAACCTAGGTGCTACAAACATCCTTCTGCATTGTCTGCAAGACTAACAGTTATATTGAAAGAGAAACTGAACTCTAGCCATCCTTAAAGAGCACAGACAAAACACTAGAGTTCAAATTAACAGTGTTATAAATAACACTTATTAATAAATTTCGTAAGATGTAGAATAACCCTTTAAGCCTGAAACCTAAAAGGTTACACAGTGTGGTACAAGGCTGCTGGGATTCTGTTATGCAAAACTGCTCTGCTTTTATGCATTCTAAAAGCTGTCCTGGAAAACGGGCCAGAACAAGAGGAAATGCTGCAATATCCACCGCCAGCCTCTGCAGAATGTTAATCCTCATTTGCTACATCCAAACCCTTGGTTTAAGCAGCTGTGAAAGCTATTTTTGGAGTCCTCCTGACTAATCCAGCACACCAGAGTACAATGATACTTGCCCTGTACCGTGACTTCTTTCCCTCTTCTTTTCTTCCCCCTTTGCCTTCAGTCCCCGCTCCTTCCCTCCTTTGCTATGCACACTCTCTCAAGGTTTTGTTTCCAATAGAGTGCTCATTTTCTGCTTACTTACCAAGCAATCTGACAGCATTACAGACACAAAGCAAAATATATAATGGAGAGATGACATCTTTTGAGAAGGCTGAAGTAACACTTATGCTGTACCCAGGACCTAGATCACTAGCACTGTATTTTGGCATAACACGCCTGTATGTGTCAGGCTGACAACTTTGCAAGCCCATTAATGACTCCTTGAATTTTTTAACACTCTCACCACAAACCTTAACAACAGATTGTATTACAGAAGCTCTTAAAATTTCCCATTGGCTTTCTTCTGGAGTATCCTTAGAAATGAACTTCAGTAGGTTTAAGATGGTTGTTCTAGTTAGACTGAGCAGATGCCTCTGAACTGAGAGCTGTGCCACCCAAACTGCACAGGATACCCACTACACAAATGACAAGGGCATTAGAACCTTTTTCAGGTCATCCCCTAAAATACACACTCTCCTGGACACAGATAGCCTTTTAAATGTAATTACAGGGTAGATAGCACACCAGTAATGCAATTAAGAGAGCAAGCAGACAGGAGATATAATGCCACACTCAATCTTTGACTCCAACTACCCACAAGCATCCATTTTAATTTTAGGTTCTTTGAAGTTGTTTGTTTAACAGGGTTTTACACCTGACTCCTGCAGGATCCCCTTCGGGGTAACATGCTCCAATCACCCTACGGATATGGCATCGTACTTACTCATACGAAGTCAAATTCCCCTGCAGTACCTGTAGTCGCAGAGCTTGGGCTGTGTGCCACACTGCTGTCTGCAGACCATACAGCAGCTGCAGAGCGGGACGTTGCCTCTGATCCAGTGGTGCGGCATGGAGCTGCGGGCTCCGCTGTTGCTCATCATAATCTCCTTGCAGTGAAAGCGCTGGTCAGCCTTCTTGAGGCAGCCTTCGCTGACACGCAGGCCGCAGCAGTTGCAGAAAGCGCCCTGGAGGATGTGCTGAGCACACACGCAGCAGTAGGAGGGCTGCCCGAAGAGGTCTGTGTAGTGCCAGTCATGCTTGCTCTTCCGAAAGATATCTCGGATCAACACCTGCCGCCGGGACCGCTGGAAGCTGCACCACAGGGTGATGAGCACCGGCAGGAGCACGGAGCACAGAGTCCAGAACACCAAACTGTGGTCTGTGACCACCGAGGAGGAAGTGCTTCTTCCGCTCCCCGGCCCTTCCATCCCTCGGCAGCTCAGCCTCGCCGGCCTAACCCCTCACAGCACTCGGGCAGACGGCAGGGCCAGCCCGGCAACCGGCCCCTAGTCCAAGAAGCCAACGCGCAGCCTCATCAGACATGTTTTAACCCCTACTAGGGCCAAGCCCCTTGCTGCCCCACGAGGGCCCACCCGACCTACCCGCCACAGGATGCCGGTGCCCGCCGGCTGCGCGGGGCTGCCGCCGCCCGCTCGGGCCTAGCGCAATGCCGGCCGGCAAGGGCCTCCTCCCGCCGGCCAGGAGGGAGCCGCCGCAGGGCCCCGGCTGCCCCGAACGCACCACGGCCACCACGGCCCCTCTGTGGGGGTTCGGGGTAACGAGACCGGCACCGCGCCGAGGTCCCGGCCCCTCACACACCTCCTCTCCACCGCCCGCCCGCTTCCCCCTCCGCAGCCCCCGCGGGGTCCCGGCGGCGGCTCCCGCTGGGCCGAGCAGGAGGCGAGCGGCGGCCGCTGGGATGCGCGGAGCGGCGGAAGCGGAAACGGCGGTTGCCAGGAGACGGGCGCCGCCCGGGCTCTGGTCGGCTCGTTACGGGGTTATCGCGACACCTGGCCTATCGCCAGCCCCTCCACGACAGCGCGGGGTAGCGCGGCCAGCGCTTAGCTCCAGCCACAGCATGGCGGGAGCTCGCCGGGCACGGGGCTTCAGCAGCCCGGGGAGAAGGGCCACGGTGGCGCATCCGCTGCCGAGCCGGCTCCGGGCCCGGTTACCGCACTGCCGGTTCCTGTGACCCCAGCCAGAAGCGCTGCCCCCTAATTCCGTTCTGCCCTCACACGTTACACGGCTCCCCGGTAGCAGTTCTGCAAATAAAGAGCCGCTGCTATAAGAAACGGCAGGGTTTCGTACTTTCAACGCAGTACGTTGAGCGATTACGAGCATCCACACAAGAGACACATTTCTTGGATTTTCGGCTGTTGGGGTCTGAAAACACACGCTGGAAAATGCCAGCGTGCCACAGCGTAACAACACTCCAGTTTCAAAGGGAAGTCCCATCATGGGATGCCCCAACTCCAGCATGGCCCGAGCCCTGAGCGCTTCCATCCCCTGCTGTGGCTCTGACGAGCCCTCACATCCACAGCACGCTGTTTCTGTCAGACCTCTATAAACGGTAAAGATCAGTGTGAGGAGCTGTGCTAATGCAGCCTGGCTAGCTAAGGAGCTGGCATACCCCAAGGTGCCTGCCTGAGGGGCACTCACTGGCCTTGCTCTGATCCGCTGTTGGACTTCCTGAACCTTTCTGTATCTCATTGAGACCCACACTCTTTGCCACACGTCACCCTGACTTGTGCAGGCACGGTGTCACAGGGGAATAAACACCACCTCTTCAGCAAATAAAAAGGCTCCAATGAGGAGGGCTGGCAAGCCCTGGTGAACCCCTGAGGTGCAGGAGATACAGCGATGTGCTACATGTCCTCTCCAAAGGGGAATGTTAATCACTCATGTCCCTTGTGTGAGCCACTGATGGATTCTGATGCCCTGTTTCATACCCTAGATTCAAAGGGACACTTACTTCTTTTCCTACAGATCGGTGATGCTGTATGTCCAGCACAGCGCTGCTTGGAAGAGAACCTCTGCCGTATTTCTCCAGGCAGAAACTAGCTGCTTGCAGCAATACTTCTTATCCTACATTCTTCTTCACACTGCTTACTAGTCAGGAACACTTACAATCCTGTTTCTTATGATCAAGTTTTCCTTGTCCTGAAAAGAGAAGAATTCTGTGAGTTTTCATTTGCATGGTTCTATTAACTCAGTAATAAAAAACTCTCTGCTGTGTTTTCCAGCAGTGATAATTTGACTTTGCTAGAGTTAAACCCCATTAATATGCATTTCTGTGCTGCAGTTTGAGACAGTTTCTGAAAAAGGGGTCCCTCTGCAACAGCCTTTAAAACTAACATTCAATAATGGGCAGTTGTTTCTTTTAAAGAGCAATTGCTCACCTTAGGCACCAACCCCATTGCTTCTATGCTGAATGCAAGGTGATGTGGTTTGGTTTCACAAATGTAAACTATCCAGTGTAACTCTGAAGCCTGACGTGGAAAAACAGACTTCTATTTTCTGTCCCTCAGGAACAGAGTTACGCTGAGAACGTGTGAGCAGATGATAGCCTAATTCAAAACCTCAGGCCAGATGTCTTCAGAGTTATGCTATCACTCAGATTAGTCAAAGCATAAACAAACACTTGTGACTGACGTAGCTACTTCAAATAGGCTGATGCCTCTGTCAGCAATACTCATTTTGGAACAGGCTGAGAGACAGCAGAATCAAAATGAAGATGTTTCTTGTGTTTGTCTCCTTTTTGATCCTGATGACCACTTTTACAGGTAGGAGTTTATATGGAACAAACCTGCATGTGTATGTAGCATGGCAGAGCACGCCATAACAGTATTAGTTCCTCAACCTTGCATTTTACTATCTTCATATTTCAATTATAACACCTATTTTTACATTGCAGACTTTCCATGATTTGATTTTTAACAATCATGCTACTGTATTCCATGTTTTGCTCTCTGCATTCATTTCTTGTAAAACCAAAAAGTTTAATTTTCCTAGCTTACTATTTTAATATTATTTGCCCAAGGTTCTGCAAGCAAAATGTTTAGTGGAAGCTCTCCTTTGCAACAAAAGGCTAACTCATTACTTTGAATATAGTCCTAAACAGTAAAGCAGCACAGAAAAGAACAAAGAACTGGAATCACTAACATCAGTGATCAGATGGTGCTGCTATATTCTCTCATTTTAGAGAGTAACATGAATATGTAGGGTTTGCTTCACACAGGTAGAACTAGAGAAAGTACAAGTATAAAAATGGTTTAAAATTCCACTCATATCTCCTGGAATGCTATATCCCCCGGGAAGGGGCTGTAATGAAAGAACACTTTGTATATAGACAAAAATCAGGTTTGGAGACGTTTCGTTTTACAACTGACAGATAAAATGTTAACTTTTTGGTAATTTCAGAGCTAATTTCTGCTCTTCTATCTTTAGACACTTCCCCAGTTTTGGCTGGAAAAGATGCCAAACAGATTCTGAGAACTCGCCGTGGAGACAGACCGAGAAAAGCTGGTTTCCCTGATGAGCCAATGAGGGTGATTTATGCCTTTCAGTTTTAAATTACATTAACTAAAACCCCCACAACACCAAAAGCCCCAAAACATTTGTGCTTAGTATTAGATTTATAGAGATTTAATTCCAACCAGTATCTTATGAATATCACCCTGTTAAGCAGCTGAGTTCTTCTGTGAAATATTACCCCCCCACCCTTTACATTCTTTCAATTACTGTTAAGCAGCATTCTGCAAGTGCTGAATGTTGCTGAGGAAATGTATGCTTGCAGAATGTGGAAATTATTTATCATGGTTCAAAAAAGTCAATTAAATTATGGAGAAGAAAGTGGCTTTTCATTTATAGAAATGTGGATTTCATCAGGTTGTTTCTGAAGAACTAAATAACAGGAAATGTCTTCTGCTTACAGCACATTCTGCACTCAAGGCAGAAAGGAGATGTAGGTGTCAGTGGTCGGTGTGGAGATTGAGGTAGTTCTCAGCTAGCTTTTAAAATCACTTCTTTTGCTTATTTATGGATGCTACAGGTAGGATGGTTTGTTATGATATGGTAGGAGTTTTCAGTTGCTAGCTTAAGGCAGCAGCATTGGTATTGCATGAAATAGTTGTATTTATTTCTAAACCGTATTACAAGAAAAGAAAAAGAATTACAGAACCTTCTGTTTTCCTTGCTTTGACAAGATGTAACGTATAATTCTGCACTTCTCAAGAGGTACTTAAGGTATTTTAAAATTACTGCCTATTTCGTTCCAAAGTAAATAAACTGCTCAAATGACATGGTCCTGAAGAGGCAAAACCCACAGAAGCGAGGAAGCTCACATTAGATGGTGCATGTGTGACAAATACACATGCGGGGCTCAGTTTAGCAAGGTGCTGAGCACTTCTGAACTCTGTAGGACATGAGGAGTGCTACGTACGTTGCAGGATTGAGCTCAGTGTGTGCCAGGGTTGTGGAGACGGGTTGTGGGCTTCTCTTTCCAGTGGTTATTGTACACCAGCCAAAAAGAAGCCACCTGGCTGTGTGCCACTCCTGCTGCACACACTTCTTTGTCAAGTGTGATGGCCACAGCAACTCAAAGCTGTCACAAGGATATCACATCATGCTGGTTAACAATCTTGTGCAATGAAGACTGTATAATAGAGCCAAAACCACACAACACTCTTAGTCTAAGGTTTAGCTTTAGGTAGCCCTGTGAAGAGGAGGGAGTTGGACTCAATGACCCTTATGGGTCCCTTCCAATTTCTCTTCCATATTCTGTGGTACCACGATTCTAGGTGGGGAGTAAAGGGAGCTAGGGCTAGAAAAGTGTTTGATCACTGACCTCTGCTGCTCTGTCCTCGCCACTTCCATTCTACCACGATCAGTAGCAAACCCTTTTTGAGACATTCCAACCCTCTTTTCATTTCTTTTTTCTTTATTTTCTTCCTATACAGCAATTCTGCCTTTCTGTAAGAAAAGCCAAAGAGAAGAGTATTTGTTTTCCTCCCTAATTATCAAGTTTTTCAGTATAAAAGCAAATACCTACTTATAGAAAACCTATCCTCCCCCTCCATGAGGAACTCGGGGATATTCCCTTGTGAACGAAGGTGCATGGCTCATCTATCCCTGTGCATAGTTGTACCCCTGGCTCTAGGAGAAAACCTGCTTTTGTATGGATTCTTTGTAGCAGAATAAAATGAATGTTGGGATGAACCCACCTCTGTTCATCTATTTTAAGCAGAAGCTGTTTGTACTAGGCCAGATCATGCTGAGTTGGGGAACTGAATTTGCAATTCTTTGTGACACTGTTTGCCTTCCAAGTGCTGTTTCACTCAAAAAGCCTGTTCAGCTACAGACAGCAAGATCTGCCATTTCTGATTATATTTAAAGTGCCATTTATCTTATCAGCATGTTTTAATCTTATTTTGACTGAGACCCTGTTTTTAATCCCGCAGCGTCCTATCAGTTGTATAGTTTTGTTCTCCACAAATTCGTAACAGTCTTACAGAGCGATTTGAGCCAAGTCTCCCTGTGCTGCCAGGAGAGAAAGCACATTAAAAAGCAGGATACTAATGCTGCCTGCTGGCCCCCAGTGTACCAACCCTCTGGTCAGCACAAAGAGCTGGATCACAGCAGGAATACTTGGCCAGTGCAAAGGGTTTACACTACAGCTTCCAATCCCGCAACACCTACTGTGCAAAGCAGTGGGGGGATGATATATATGAAAACCTGTACCCTGTGTTCACAGAGCTTGTGAGCCCTCAGGCACTGGGGCTGTAAGTTTCTAGAAGTAAGTTTTGTTCTGGTGCAGATCTGGTTTTTGGTACGCAGCCCACCTCAGTTTGGTAACTCTTTGCTTACACCAACCCCCTGTGAATTAGTATGGGAAATGCACATGATTTTATGGCTTACACAAAGACCAGTCGGCACTGATGCACGCTACTAACTAGAACTCTTTGGTGTACTGCCATATGATCCTGTCAGGGGCTCATGGTTTTTAATCAGCAGGAATCTATTTTCAAAAGAGGCTGCAACAGACCTATCTGTGAGAATCCTTCTGTACCCTCAGGACCAACAGAAGCTTCTGTGTCTCTATGCAAATAAGAAATGTGTATGCAGAATCCCTAATTTATGAATACTGTAAAATTCTTGCTCAATGCTTTTACTGATGTCAGTCAGTAAATACTGCTAGGTTGGGGAAGCTGATTGGCATCACCATTTCACTGTATTTGATGATTTTAAGGGGTAAATTACTTGCTCATATGTAAGGTTCACTGGCCTGACATTAGACATGAGTGATCACAAAATTAAATTACTTTTTCTTGTCTTCCAACAGGAGTACATGCTTTACCTCCAGCGCCTGGAGCAGAGAGCAGAAGAACAATTCCTTGAACACTGGTTGAATCCGCATTGCCTCCCACACTGCAACAGGGATCTGGTGCATCCAATCTAATGGTCTTGCCTACCCCACAAATGGTAGATAGATTTCTTTTGCTGTGCCTGTTTCTTTCTTTGTAATAAAGGGCAGAGCCAAAAACAGGAGGAGGAGGGAATAATCAGTGGCTGGAGGAAGTACCTTGTGCTAAAAGGTGTCTGGCAACAGATTAGTGGCAGGGAAACACAAGTGTCCTTGGCATCAACTGTGTCACTGCAGTCTGTTGTTACTAAAACATGTGGTTATCAATTTCTGTGCTACATGGATTTAAGTTAGTGACCACAAAACATTCTTACTAATGTTGCTTCAGACTGCTCCTGTTTCCTTCCTGTCTGCTTGTACTCCTTTTCCAACTCGTGTGTTTAAGTCTTGGACTTGTTCATTAGCTCTCTGGAGGACTGTGGCAGGATATGTAAGATGCAGTCTGACCTGCTAGGAGCTGAGCCTGTTCTGCAGTATCTCAGCTGAAATAATTTGCTGGCTGCTGACTTTTTAGATGGAATTCACTATTTAGTACACATTCTGGCAAACATTAACATGGAACATTCTCACAGAGCTTGCATGGATTATTAGTTCTGTGCATGGTTTTAACATCAGTGTAATAGACACCATCATTTGCTTTATTGCCTCTGTTTATCACATGCATCATGGAATTTAATGGGAAAATATGTTCCAAAGCAAAGCTCAGAAACCAGGCACTACTAACAAGCCAATCGGTGACAAAATGACACATCCCAGTAGTACTCCATGCACACTGGTTTGTGATATGGTCATCCTTTTTCCTTGTGTGTTTTGCATGGAGCATCAGCTTATCACTACGTTAAAAAAACGGGATGCATCGAGGTAAGGAGTATAAAATACAAGTAAACTCTTCTAATTACCCAACAGCCAAAATGATGCCAAAATAAGAAGATATACTTACATCTGTAAATGCTTATAACAGGATGAACCTTCCTTCTCACATTCTTCAAACAGACATGATATTTGTCAACTGGGATAAATCCGAATCATCACCATAACAGTGATGCCGTATCACTTACAGTTAACCTTGTAACATGCAAGTTGCAGGTTTAGCTCCATACTTTCAAAACCAAGTAAAACAGAGACGGTGTCTGTCAGGGCTGATCTGTTTCAAAGACAGAAAGTTTGTCTGCTTAAAATTCTGCTATTTATTTGTATCTGTACATATCTAAATGCCTTTGATGCTGTGCTAGACTTCAGTGGAGCTCTGTTAGTCCACAGTAAGCCAAAGGTCTGAAACTTATTTAAAAACAAAAACACAAAATTCCCAAACCTTACCCCAAGGAGGCAAGTTGGCAGATTTCAAAACATCTTCCAGCTGAGGCACAGTTGAAAGCTGGCTCGCTGGCTGTTGGAATCCTTCACTATAGCTGCTCACAGGCAATCATGAAGAATTCATGTTAGAGAAGTGCTTAAATGATTTGAAGCCCTTTCTGTTATTAGTAATGTCAGTAACATTAGTCATGTTTTTAAACGACATTTTCTTTTTTCTCTGCAGATCTCTTTCTTTCCACAGATCTCTTCACAGCCACTGAAGAGGATATATACCATGATTATGTTAAGGAGGAAGAGATTATTCCTGCATTGGCTACGTGCTCATTGTAGAGCTGAATCTCTGCAATACAGTGCAATCCTAGTGATAGAGCAAAACTTCCAACTGTAAATGGAAGTTTTATGTTATAGACCACCATATATTTTCTACCAGTAATGATTGCATATATGAATAAATAAATCAAGGGTCTCCCCTAGTACGTCACTTGGAGTACAATGTTCAGCTGCTGAGCCCCCAACATCAGAACAAAGACCTGTTGAAGTGAGTCCAGAGGAGAGGGAATTTTTACAAGGGCCTGTAGGGACAGGCCAAGGGGAATGGCTTTAACCTTTACAGAGGGGAGACTGAGATGAGCTCTTAGGCAGAAGCTCTTCCCTGTGAGGGTGCTGAGGCACTGGCACAGGGTGCCCAGAGAAGCTGTGGCTGCCCCATCCCTGACAGTGTTCAAGGCCGGGTTGGACACAGGGGCTTGGAGCAGCCTGCTCTAGTGGAAGGTGTCCCTGCCCGTGGCAGGGGGTGAAAGCGGATGGGCTTTAAGATCCCTTCCACCCCAAACCATTAGAGGATTCTGAAGTAAGGGCAAGAATAAATCACTGATTACTTCCAGAGTATGCTTTTTAAGGGTACAGCTTCAGACTGTCTGAAGCAGAAGAAACTTAGAGGGAGAGCTTCATAGAAAACTGGAGATATAACCATGAGAAGAAGGTCAGCTCCCTAATGTTGGAGGAATCCTTAATTACAGTTTTCTAGGTTAAATAACAGTATTGTATGAAGACATAACATTTATGCAACACTGATCTATGTTTAATTGCCTGATGACTATTTCATGTACTGTTTCATAATAAAAGCTTGATGCAAACCCATTTTCAGATGATTTTGTTACTTTAGTCTCCCATACAAAAATCACTGGAAGTGAAGCTTATTACAGTGACATACTGAGGAAATGTCAGAGGACTTTCTAGGATCAGCAGCTGGGAAGGGCTATGGAGCAGTCTTTACCATTTTGTAGTTTCTCTGCACAACTTTTCCCTTTCCTTCATAATTCTGCCAGGTCAGGCACATGTATCCAGCCATTCTTCTGCCTGCGTGCCTTTAAAACTTCTGCCTTGGTATCGAATAGCTTGTACAATCAGATGGTAAACACATGATACCTGCAAAACAACATGAACAATGTCTTGATGGCTCTTACATGACTGTTATGATCTTCAGTGGCAACAGAATTAGTTATGAATGGAATAAAGTAACTTTCAGAGCTCCTCACTGCAGTTGCACTAAGAGCCTGAGGACTGGTAGCAAATAAAATGCAATTTTGTGCATATATATATATATATAAGGTAATTACTGCTGCATCTGATAGACTGAAACAGATCAACAGTCCTTCTAGTACACTTTCCTTCCAGTAAGAGAGCTCTCCTAGATGACTCCAAGGAAGTAATTTAAATCTCAAAGCATCAAAGGCTTGTTTTTCCCCTTCTGTCTAGATGAAATCACAGATTAAATCTGGGAGGGTAAAAAAGTATCATCAGGCTGCTATTGTGTACTTCATTCATAATACTGGCAATACATAGATCTCAATTTGCATATCTCTGCTGAAGTTAAAGTCATTAGGTGAAATCCTGGCTCTGCTTTTTCTTGCACAGTGAAAAGTTCATGCCAAAACCAATTATGCCAACTTTCACCCAGTGAAAGCAGATGTAAGTATTTCTCTGAAATACAAGAACACCCACCTACTTATATTCAGCCATGAGTTAGATAAGTAGTAAGGTTAAATAGTAGCTTCTAGGCCTACCTCAGTAACACTGAGCTAATCCTAAAGCACACACGTGGAATAGACACTGTTTATTGGTACTAAGTCTGCTTTTCCGCATCTCATATAGGTATCTGTAAAGTATTATTAAGTCTAACTCACAAGGAGAAAACTAGAAACACAGAAAGGTGAAGTACTTCCAGGTCTCTGTTCCATGTTCTCTTTCACTTTATAAGGGAAAAGTTTGTGGTATAATGTTAATAGTCTTTAGCCTGCATGCCTGATCTAGTCAATGGGCTAAAGAGCCAACCCATATCTGCACTCAGTTTCAAATCCAAAGCTCACCAGTGTTTACAGAATTACAGCACTAAAACTTCTTGGCAAAAGTAAACGCTCCTAAAAGTACCTACACTTCTGTTCTGTGGTAGAACTGATCATAGAAGTACCTCCTGGTCCATCAAGACAAGAAAAACAGCAGATACCATATAGGAAAGTTTGAAACATAGAGAATAAAGGGAGAATAAAGTGTAATGAAAGAGAGAGAGAACAGAAATTATGAGGGTAAAGAATTAAAACCCAGACTAAAGCCTATCAGTACCTTTGCAATTGTGAAGAATCCAATCCAAGATATTTCTTTTTAATATATTCAGCTCTTCTGCTGTATTTAAGAACCCAAGTCCTCCATTCATACAAATTAATTTGGGCCCTGCAAGTAAACAGAGAATCACCCTTCAGCCTACCTGAGAGAGACAAAGCAGAGGAGGCCATCACAGCACAGCAAACTTATACGTTTGCTCAGCACTGACAAACACTGAAGTCTAGAGAGGGATGTGACTGCTTTAGACTATTGCAATGGCTGTAGCACCCTGTCACCCTGCTTATTATACATCTCTGTATGTCCGTAATGAATCTATAGTGTTTTACATGTGATCCATGGACTAATAAAAGAACAGCATCTTAGGGTCAGGGATAAATAAATTAACTCAAGTATTTATTATGACTCAGCAATGAAAACACTCATACAGAATTAGCATAAAAAGTTAACACTGCATAAACACCGTATTTATAGCTACAGAAGCTATGTAATAAGCTTTTCTCACAGTCCTTCAGTGTGGCTGTTCCACTGTGTTTTGATTCTTGCCTTTTCCTCAGCTCTCTCCTTCAAAGCCACGCTATGCTTGAAATAATCTAAAGGGGAAATAGATCAAGTGTGTTCAAGGTCTATTTGGTCCATGTCTAAAATCTTGGGGAAAAAATGCTACACTTCTATGCATGCAAACCATGGCCTTCCCTATAATAATCTATATGGCATTATGTAATTAGGATTTGCATATGAAAGCCACGAGAGGGCTTAATATAGCTAAAATAAGATGAACAAGCGTGCTGAAAGTTGTATACTGAATGGGAAAGCTAATGGCAAAATAGTTGATTTCAAATGCCTTTACAGAAGAGGATTACAAAAGACTTGGGAAAATCTTTAATCTATGAAGCAGATAAATAGATCATTAGCTTTAATCGCTGCCTTGGTTTATATTCAGTGTCTGCTAATTTTGTCTCTTCTGATCTGAAAACTTGCCCACTAGATGCCACTGTTTCTGCATATAAACGGCACCACAGCTCTCAAACGCTGACTCAAAGTACTGCATCCCTCCTTCTCCCTGCCCCTTGTTTTTCACCCCTTTTCTTAAAGTGTTCAGCTCAGATGACTGAAAACGTCATCTCTAAACCTTAAAACCCCCACCAAACACCAATACTTTAGCAAATGGCCGATTTTCCCCCCGTTTGGATCCAAGACTGCTGTGAAGAGGGATGCTAGTGTGGAGTCTGCATGGTTATGTGGGTGACATGGTTGAAAGTTTCTACACAGCACATTGGAGTGGTGACTTTATATTCTCTGCCATTCAAATGCAGATCTGAAGAAAGGATTTTGTGTTGCTGCAGTTCTTTCCTCTCAGAGTAGGTCCCATTTGATCTCTCTCCAGTAACCCCAAAATGTAAGCTGCAGACTAATTGGTAAAAGCATCACTCTTTATGGCATTACATTATCTTATTATATTTATTATCTTTAGCAGATGAAGGCACTAGGTGTTAGGTGCAGTATAAACCTTTACAGACAAGGCAGACTGCGCCTAGGGCCCAAAATGTAGTACCACCCTATAAAGAGTACATAAATAATATCAAATCTAATTTAAACACACAGTAACTCAGGGAAAAGAGACAAAGGTTGGCATTTCTGAAAGCATCAACTTCTTCAGGAAGGCCAAGACTAAAAGATTTTATCACAGACAGATAAATAGTATATGAAGGAGTTATGCTATTGCCACTAAGCAATTTGGCAGTTCAACTAACTGGCTGTTTCTATGAGACTGCCTTACCTTGCAGGAGATCATGCACCTGAAGTATTTGGTTATGAGGACTGGAATTTCCAGTCAATCACTTGCTTTATGTGAAATTCACTTGCACAGAGGTGAAGGCAATTGGAAATGCAAACCTTGAACTTACCAGTTTGTAGTTTAGATGACAGAGGATTTGCCTGCTTCTCATGGGGACTGAAGAGTGTACTCTTCTAGTCACGATGACAGCGCTGCTTCTCTGGAGCATTCTGAAAAGTGAACATCAAAGACAGAGACAAAGTAAATAACCATAACATCTGAAATGAAAGAGTGTGTATGGAAATGTTGCCTTGCAGTACTTCAGGGCTTTCTTTTTGCCATAATTGCAGCCTTGTTTTGAATATTGGAACCTTGTTTTGAATGAAGGCTTCTGTTATCTGTCTGAATGAATGAATGCATAAATAATGGAGTGAAATTGGATTGACTGAATATGATCACTGCGGTAGGAATCCAGTTTAGATTCTCAGTAAAAGTTCATTTTTTAATGACTGAAGAGATGAGCGTGTACTTTGGGAGGTTATCTGGAGCCTTTTATGGTCTACAAAGGGTGGAAAATCTTGTGAGAACTGTGTGTCCTGAGATTTCTGGTACGTGATTGGAAATGCTGAGTGATCCGTCTCCTTTCTGGCATTTTAATCCTGTTTCAGGTCTGGGGGTAAAGATGTGCACTGAAATGAAAAACAGGAAAAAGCAGAAAACGTTCAATGAACTCTCCTTGTTCCATCAAACAAGCATGTCCAGCCCAGTGTAAGCCTCAACATGAAACCAGAATTTTGAAGCACCAGCATTATTCCAAATCTCATGCTCCTCTTGGTCCTGCCTGTCTTTTTCAGGATATTTCAGTAAGTCATGATGAGTTTAAGTATCATTTTGTTTCCAGGGAGGATTTGTATCTAAAGATCCATTTGGGCATCTCTCTTTTTTGCACAGAGCATCATACACATACCTTTATTAAACTGAGTGAGCCAACACTAAATATAGGAGATCTTGGACCAAAGACAAAGTGGGGCAGAATATTGCTTCATTTTGAATTTTTCAGAATAAAGAGTAATTACTGAGTGGCTTCAGAAATCAATTTAGCAAAATGTTCTAAATGTTCTGAATATGCTTGGCTTAGACATTTGCTCTTGAACTCTCTTGCCGTGACTATGAATATGTACCCATATAGTGCCTATAAAACTGACACAAGAATCCAGCCTACAAAATGCCTGGATTATCAGATCCATAGCACTTCTACTCTCCAACAGAGCCTAATATTCCACTTAATGCAATCAGGATGTACTTCTATATACTTCCCATGCACTGTACAGGATTAGTTCCAGCATCAGTAATAAACTTCAAGCAGATGAGAAAAATTACTCACACACATAATTATTTGCAGAATATGGGCTTGTCCTGGTTATTTAAGATAAATGGTTCTAGTCCATAGATTTACCCGGTTCAATCAGCAGATTACTCACGTTTTGGTGGGCCCAGTTTTACTTTTGGCCAAAACCAGGCCTAACAGACAAAGCTCGAGTACTCTGAGTGTTGTCACAGCCTCTATTGATCAGATAGAGACACAGTTTAAACTAAATGCTGCAGAAATGATGGGTTTGCTCCTCTCTGGCTGGGAGGCAATGGGCCAGGCAATGTCCATAAGATGACTATAGCAGAGCTCACCTACCTCCCAGGAATCTGAGGTGTGATCAGTGATGAGTGATTTAAATAAACAGGGTTTGCTGCATAGCTGCATAGAAAGAAAACCCAAACATAAAACCAAGCTTTACCAGTAACAGGAATGCAAATGTAAACATAAATAAAGCACACTTAATAATGAACAATGATGGGATTTATCTGCTCTTTCTAGGTCATGATTGCTTTGATTCTAAAGAAGAGTCTCAAAATAGGCATTCTACCAGTGTCCATTTGTTGTCATGGATTACGGGGGACATGAAGTCTACAAAAATTGTCACTGAACTCTCTCAGTAACTATGCATACAGAACAATTGTGTAGCACTGACATGGCCGTTTTCCTGCTCAGACACCTGTGTTCATGATACTTTGAATGTTTTACTCCTATGGTTGCAAAGCATCCCATGCTTATGAAGTTCTGAATTTCACTTGGCAACATCTTTGCCCATTGCTACCCAGACAGCTACGCAGGTGCCTGCGGAACATTTGGGATGGAGAATCTTCGCCTTCCAATCATGGAGCAATAGCAACATTTTCCTCTACAAATGAACCTTGACTAGGATGTGGCAGATCCTTCACAAGCACATGGTTTGGCCTCGTCCAGTCTGGCATAAGCACAGAGCTTTCCCTCCTTGCCCAGCACCTTCCCACTTGCTCTTTGCACCACTGAGGGATTGTTTCACAAGCACAGCACCAGGCAAGAAGTCTCCATTCCTTGCAGAGCACGCCATGGATCCATTCCCCCAAGAAACCCTCTGCAATCATGGGCAAGATTGGACATTCATGAGAAGGGTATGTAAACCCACAGGATTTTTATGTGAGGTAGTTTTACCTCACACACTCACACATCTGAAGTGTGAAATTAATCCAGGCTTATAGCATGGCCTTCCTCTCCATGCTGCCTATAAGTCACCAGTAGAGCATGTTTTTCCTGGAAAAGACTGATCAAGGTTCTGGGAAAAAACCCCACCAGTATAAGGGAATGACTAACACGGAGTGTCAGCCATGGGAAAAGCTGCAGAAAGGCTTTGTGCTCAATTTATTGGTGCCATGGCACGCACAGGAACAACGCTGTACTCTCATCATCTGCAGGGAATGGAACAGTCCATCAAAACAGCTGTTTCTGTAGTCATGGGAGAAGACCAGTACAAGAAATTTACAGGTCCAGTGGAAGACTCTCTAATTTACTGGGAAGTGACAAGGCCTCTGTGGTCAACCTGTGTAAAGTTTACTCCTTTATACCTTAGTTACATGCTATTGGATATTTACTCTAAGCCTGCGGGTGTATTTATCATTCATGCAGCATCCCAACCCATCAAAGGGCTCTACTCAGAGTAGGGTATTGGATTCCTCACCTTTCTAAAAACAAAACTGCAGCGACTTAAAAACCCCTCACACTTTTGAAATGTTCACAAAGCAAATGCTTCCTGAAAGCAGCTGACAGGTAGTTAGGGATGAATAAGGACAGAGTTCTGCAGAGCAAACATTCTCTTGCTCACACACCAGCTAGACCTGTGGTCAATAACTGTATGTATCAGGAACTGTTTACAGCAGTACTGTGCAGCTGTAGATTTGATTTCTTTCTAGTCTACAGAAGGTTATTCTATACCGTCCTGTCCTGTATTATCTGCTGGTACTATTTTACACTACAGATATCCTATACTATTGTATGAGTTGCATTTCAAATAGGTGACTGTAGAGGAAACTCTCAGACTGCACAACAGCTGAACATCATGATTCACAAGAATCAGAGGCCCTGAGCCTAAAAAAGAAATAATTTAAAAATATGATTAAAAAATAAACAGTAAGGGCCTCATTCTGTAAATATGAGTGAGTCTTGCTCATGGAAGTCCTCCAGTGAATCCCAGTCTTCCATAGGAGTAAAGAGGCTATGATACACGGTACTCACACAGGTTTGTTTCTGTTGTCACCAAATACAATTTTGGTAACTCCTAAACTTGCTCATTTCCTTGCTGACACAGAAGGGGATGACAGGTTGGTGTTAAGAATACCCTCTAGGATAGATCAAGCCTGAACTGCTACTGGTTATCTCCTAGAGTCGCATGAAGAAATCAGAACCTCCTCTTCCATTTAGAAAACATCATTCTAGCCATGGACACAAAGACGAGCTTGAAATATGACTTGGGTACAGCAGATACTGCCCGTGGCCCTAGGGAGGGAGCAGTTCCAAACACGACATACCTTGTCCTTTCCAATTCTGACGTTTATTGGCAACTCTAAGGAGAGCCAGGCTAAAGCCTGAAGGCAAGAGCAGCACGGCACACCATGGTAGGCCAGAGCTTGCTTTCATTCAGCCCTGCCATCCAGGCATGTACATTTATTCCTTTTCCAATTTGAAAACCACAATTTTAGGCTCACAGGCAACGAACTTCATTTCAAAGCAAATCACATAAATGTAATAGATTTGCATCTGTTTATTCCTATGTATGTATATGTCTACAGATATTTTAATGTACTCAAAATGATAGAAATTAAGCTTATGTTTCAGCAGTGGATGGATCTGAATCGCATTTCAGCATCCCAGCTGCAGAAATTAAGGTTTTTAAGAACACTTTCTGCCCAGAGAAATTTGGTTTTAAGTCCTCAACATTTGAGGGCATTTCAGTGATGCACAAAGTTTTGTTCACATCTACACCGGGGTGTTAATAGTTGGTATTTTAGATGAGCTATCGCAACACCCAAACTTTGTTCTTTTCACTCATCCCTGTTTATCATTAGATGCTTTAGAGCTGCTCAGGGAAAGAGAGAAAAATGTCTCCTATTTCACACTGCACAGCTGTGGCAGTGCTTGGGAAAAACAGTTTAAATATTAATATGGCTTTGGGCTAACAGCGTTTCTGCAGAGGCCCTTCAGTGCAATGACTTTCAGCAAAGTGAACAACCACAGAAAGAGTCAAAGACTAAAATCCCTGCAGCTGACAGCAAGCCAATCTCTGTTTTGGTGCATGCCTACAGAACTCATTATGTGTGATTGTATCAGCCACAGCTCTCCAGTCCAGCCTCAGGAAAGAATCACTCATAGATAGAACAGACTATGAAGTCAGAGTTAGAAACGTCTTCCTTGCCTCACTCCAAGCTTTAAGTGTGAACTGGACCCTCTCATTTCTCTTCTCCACACCAGCTTTAGTGAACTGGGGATACTTCCATGTGGTTTAAGGGGCTTTTATCAGCTGCACAGCCTCCTCCTTGGTAAATTCTGCAGCTGTGGTTAAACTGCCCAGGTGAAAGCTTTCTTACCCAACACTGCCAATGTGCCTAAGGCTGTGTACTGTGGTTGTCTGGTTTAGCTCTGCCACCGGTCAGCCTGTGTACCAGTCATTCCAACTGCACTTAGAGGTGACTTACCCCAGAGGTACTCACAGTGTTCCATCCACCCCAGAAAGAAAGAGGGGTTCCCCTCAAACAAAATACTCCAGCAGTACATTTTCAGCAGTGCCCTGAACAGAGGGCATTGCTTAGACTTTGGCTGGGATCCATCCCGAGGAGGCATGGCTCTAGCACAGATGACAGACTGACTGGGCTCACTAAGTGTTGCAGCATTACTTACACACTCAGAGTGCTGACGCCTCTCCAGTTCTGCTTTGAGAAGGAATCATCCTGTATATCTGACATTCATGGCTGCCACAGGGTAGGAGGAGGCCACTTCCATCACTTCATTTGCTCATCTATTTCCTACTTACCAGGATGACAAATGTTGAGGCCACTGAGTTAATTTATTAATTTATTCCCAAGCTTTTCATTCTGCCCCATTTGCATCAGCAACTTTGCTGTTGAAACCGCACTCTCTTAGGAGTGAAGTGAACAGCACCTGTGGCTCCAAGGCTGTCAGCAGCAGGACACACACGTGCCCGGAACGACTCGCTGGAGCAGAGGGAGAAATGGATTACAGCTCAGGGCTACACACAGTAAATCACCAGCACAGAGACCAGCACAGGGACAACAGAAACAGCAAAACGTGCTCTTTTAGAACACGACTCCTAAATTAAACAAGACAAGGAAATGTATGCAGTGACAGCAAGGGTCACTTTTTCCTTCACTGTTGCTCCAGTTTAAGCCCACATATGTGTCTCATTTATTTTCACCTTTGTGTTTCTGCTGTCTTTATCCTGTAAGCGATGTTACAGAGCATTATCTGTGGAGGAGGACTACAAAAGATGCCAGGTATGTATTAGCTCATGCACTTTTGGCTAATTTCCTTACGTTTGTGGAATCCAGTTACAGAAGTGCCGAATGTTCCCTGTTGAAACTCAGGTCCTGTTAATGGCAAGCAGCATACGAACATCTCCCCATATAATGTTGCTATATAGACCAATTTACTGACTCTGGACTGCACTGGCTGTGTTCACCCATGTGGTGACAGAGCTGATTAGATGTTGCAAGGAATTGTAGTGGTTACTGAGAATCAGGGAGATCAGCATTTACTATAACATTAGCATGCAGACATTGTTCACTTATTTGCCTCACGACCAGATTTTACCCCGACAAACATCACCTTCTGATCTCCTTTGCTATCACAGGAACAATGCTCAGATTGATTGTGATTAGGCTGAGGTACTTAGCAACTATAAATACGTCACTTCAACCATCCTAAAATATTTTGGGTGGAATAATGAACCAGCAACTAAAGTATCCTAATTCTACTGAAGTTAGCACCGAGAGTTTGCATTAAACTGAAAAGCTCCATAACTGTATATCATTATTGATCAAGAGCCAGACTTTCAATAGAACTTTAAGCTAAAATTGAAGATGTAATGCTTCCAAAAATGCAAGCTCACATTGAGAATCTGTGCATGGCTCAATTACTGGAGAGCCAACGTCCTCAAGCCCTGGAACAAAGCAGTCTGCATGTATGCGGGCATGGAAAACTGCTCCACCAAAGTTTATATGAGGAAAATAGAATCCACTATTCTAAAAGGAGTGTCATAAAGTTTGATGTGCCTATTTCAAAAGCATTTGGAACAGATATTCCCCCCCTCTGACCAGACAGAAATGTCTCTGCTTCCAGCTTTAATGCCAACTCCAGGGGAAAAAAAGGAATTACACTTTCTGGCAATTTGGAGAACATGGGACAAAGTTGGATGGAGCCCAGGTGGGAAGAAAGCTGAGGGGGATGTGATGGGAGCGAGCTAGGGCTGGAAACAGAAGACCTTTGGCTGTACTTGATTGAATCAGGTGAGGCCAGCAGGGACAAACACCAGGATGGTTTCTGAGAGAAGTGTCCCTGCCTCTGCTCTGTGTGGAAACAGTGTCCCTGCTTTGCTCTTTGATCCTTCAGCTTAATTCAATCCAGGGACAAATCAGAGTGAAACTGGGTGTGTGCTGGTGCATGTGTGCACACACGTTTGGGGTATGAATGGAAGGATGGATGGCGACAATGGGCAGTGGGTGCTGCGCCTCTTCCATGGGCTGCCTGAGCCAGCTCCTGCTCCTGCCACACCTTTCAGGACACAGAGAGATGATTTTGCAAACCCAACTGCTTACAGAAGCAGAGATGACAATGACAAGAGCTGATCTTTGGGATTCCTGAATCCCTCACAACATTGCAGTTTCACTGCGTGGTTGCAGTGCCAAGGGGTTCCTCATGAACCTGCTTGCTCTGGGGCTGCCCAGCACACTGCTTGGCTGCCAGTCTGTCAGCCTGTCAGTCAGTCCACTAACATTGTATGCTTGCCTCGGAACCGCACCAGCTCATCACACCGGGTGATGGCTGTAACCCTGCCTGGCCTTTGCCACTGCACCAGCCTGAAACACCACGAAAGCTGAGCAAAGATCAGTGCAAACTTACAGATGACCCCAAAGGAAGTTTCTGTTGCTGGTAACAGGCCAAACCAAACCTGCTTATGGCACAAAATGTTCCCACAGTGAGGTGGTGCCAGACTCAGAAAAGCCCAAGGCAGCATAAAGTATTTCCTCCTGTGCTCTGAGGACCTCTTGGCCCACAGTGGCAGTGCCACAGGGATTATTGTTGGCACAATCCTTACATTCTGCCTCCAGAGCTACTGTCCTGTCTCGTAAGAGGAGAGCAGATGAGTTGGCAGAAAAGGGGCAGCAGATGCCACTCTGAAGGCACTGAACATCTGCTGCCTTCTTACGTTTGTCCTTGGGTCACCTATAGGACATGTGTTACCTCCTCTGTTGAAGCCCCTGAATCTACCAAGAATCACTAGTATGGCAATGTCTGTTGCAGTCCATACCATGAAAAATGAGAGACTGCCACAAATTCTAAGTGGAAATTTATTCTTTCTGTCCCTAAAAGGAGCGTCTCACTCACTTTATACACAAATGCTAAAAGGCTGTCGCAAAGAAAACCCTTCTGGTGCAGAAGTGTACACTGTTTCATGGTTCTTCAGTTTGATATTGCTTCTACTTCAAGAACTGGGAGCTGTGCTTACAAGAAGAGTGGCTATTTTATATTAATTGAATGGAATTAATGAGGAAGTGTCTGGTGTAGCTGTGCCTACCTAGCCCCACCGTCTGTGCGGCTGCATTTTGATATATGGCAACAATACAGAAATACTGTATTCTGGGATGTGAAGTGGCTCAGTGGAGGAGGATATAAACCAGATGTGTAACATATCCAGTGAGCACTCAATGTACCTCCGGTGACCTCTCTGGAGATGATACAAATGCAATCTTTTTTGGAGACAAAGAAATAGAAATGAGCTCCAAGAGCAGGGAGGGAACAGACCAGAGTGAGTCAGAGAAAGAGAAACTATTTCAAGCTACCAAAAAATAAAAGGAAAACAAGAGCAAGAAAGAGCACATTTCCCCCTAAGTGAAAAAGGAGTTGAGCGACTTTCCCCTGGGTTTTGAGTCAAACCATGAAGATATTTCTTTGCAGGAACCTCCAGTTTGTTTCATAGAATCTTTTGTTAAATTGTGTATATGATTTATCTCAGAATGCAGTTACAATAAAGCCTTGATGTCACCTTAAGTTTTATCCTAAGAATGCAAGTGTTTCTCATCGGCCCAGATTTTACTGGAACGATAGCACTCCTCATGGCAAGTCCCAGCAAACTGATTTTGGAGGTTCCATCTGAAAATGAAACCTCACCTTTTTTCTCCAACAAGGGATTTTAAGTTGTTAATGGCCAGATTTTCACATCTTTTAAACCTGGACAGGCCACTGGGTATCAGCCTCTACTGCAGCAGGGGGAATAAATACAGCAAATCAGTGTAAACAGTTTCCACCCAGATTCTGCTACCCTGACTGAATGGGCTGATTTGCAGATACAGTGATATTAACTGCTATCAGGTGTCACAGACTCTCACCCAGTGTGACTGAAACAACAGCAGAGATGAAATCTGTGGTGTTGAGCTGTTCTGTACCAGACAACTGCATTCAGAAGGTGCATATAACCAGCAACAGTGATCATCGGCTCTGTGATAAAACTGCAACAAGTGTTAGCAAATGGAAAACACTGACCTGGAAGATTTGTGTCTTTCCAGGATGATCCTGCATTTTCTTTTGTTCTGTTACTGGGTTCTGTGCTCCCTTTTGTCAGCACATTCTGCTCTCGTCTTGTGCAGATGTGCTGCACACAAGGGCTGTGGACACCACGGCAAAGAAAGTCACTGATGTGACAGAAGTTATTGCTGCCAATGGGTTTGAACCTGCCCACTCTGAGCAGCGGGGATGAGGATTTTTCTCCTATGGCAGAGTTTGGGAGCTCTGTCTGTCTTCTCCTACCTTGGCTGCTGGCGCAGCAGGTCCCAGCACTGTCCCTCCCCATTCCCACACAGACGGGTGGGGAACGGGTGGGCTGGGAAGGGGAGCTGAGGAATTCTGGTTTGGCACCCTTCGCGCACCGCAGCAGCCAGGCGGCAAGGAGGGAGCGCAGCAGGAGCCAAGCACAATGCTAACACGGATTGCTTCTTTTGGAAAGGAGGAAACCCAGGAGCCACAACTGAAGCACTGCTCTGCTGTTGGGATAACTCAACTGTGTATATACTGCGTGTTGCCCCTAAGCCTAACAGAACCAGGACAATATTTCACTGAATTGGGAAAGGATCTCTGGGCTGGGTCTCAGAAGTGAAATGCTCATTGTTTAGATAATTTGGAAAAATACGTTGTTTTAATTTGGTTGACTGGTCTGTGGAAAAGTTTGGGATGGCGTGCACATGGTGGGGAAAAGGCAAAAAATGAGAACAAACAGGAGATGGGAATTAATTTGACATGCTGGGAGCAGGACTGCTGCGGGACTGTAGAAATCACAAGCTGAGAAAGAAGGCAACAGAGATAATGTGTTTGCTGCTGAAGAGATGGTGCTTGCAAACCCCAAGTGTACGGTGGCTACTGGGACAGGGGAAGGTGCTTATGACAGAGGAGCACAGGAGTTACCAAGGGATGTGAGAGGTTCACATCCTACCTAGTTTTGCTTGTGTGGGTTTGATGCTTCTAGTCTGATCAGGCCATCATTCAACGGCCCTTTGGGCTGCTACTGAAAAAGTGGTTCTTCCCTTCCCTCTTCCCCCAGACACTCATTTCCGTGCTCTCTTACACCAGCACAAGCAATCATGTGGCTGTGCCACCCTCAGAAACCAATTAAAAAAGAAAAACACAGCATACAACTAAGGGAGCTGATATTCAGCTGGATCAGCTCTGTTCCAAGGCCATAGCAACACTGGTGCCAGACGAGAGTGGGTGAAAAGAGTGACTGGGTGCAGAGGAAGAGGGGGGAGAGGAGTGGAACAACCCCTTTCAGCAGCAGCCAGATTTCTGCCAGATTAAAGTGACCGTGTAATCACAAACTCTTTGAGTACCCCCCTTTATTTCATTTTGGGCATGTGAAGAATCAGCTATTACTCCTACCGAGTTAAGAGCAGCACAAACAGGCTTTTATCATCTGATGGTCTCACGTTTGCTGGACTTGTGATGTGCTCTGTGCTCCGCCAGAATTTCTGGGAGGATCTGTGGCAATTATGAGGAAACCCACCTAGGGACAATATCATTCCAGTGTAAGGAGGCTGGTATGTATGCAGCCACTTCAGCAGCTCTGTCTGCTATGAAAGCAAATGAACTCAAGAGCAGACAAGAACTGAGATGTGAAGTTAGAGTATAAATCTGACTGCATAAATTAAAAGGACGGGAATGCAATGGATTTTGAATAGGTTCTTTCACATGACAGTGTTCTCCTGGAATCAGAAAGCAGACATTGCAGCAGAAAAGCTTTACAGTGTTCTGAAATAAATATTAGTATTTCTCCTAGCACAGAGGAGTTAAATGAAGTGGCAAATCAAAACACTTATGTGTATGCATATACATTAGCTAGAGATAGAAAGTGTGGACTGTAGTGAAAAGGGGTCGATACGGAATATTGTCCATAGAGTATTGACAAAACATTGGCTGCATGTTGCGAGTTTCCTACTTTCTCTAAGACATCTTCTTTCTCGGCTAGAACTGGCACATACGTGAAGGTCTGAGCGTCCAACTTGGAATTTCAATTCCCCTATGCAATTCCCTGCACATCACTTTATGGAAAGAGTCATGACACTGTGGGGCAATGATCCCCTCAGTCAGCAGTGAAAGATCCAAGGGGGAACTGGGCTCTTTAGCCACTCGATTACAATGTACACAATATCTTTGCAGATATAACAGAAGCAGAGTAAATTAGGGTGAGTTGAGATCCAAGGACTCTCCTACAGGGTGTCCAAGAAGCATGATGATATTTTAGGTCACTGTGATGATGACACCAAAAGCAATGCTGGTAATAGTAGCTCCATGCCTGGGCCACAAGTGACTTAGGGCTATTCATAAAATTATTATCCACATACCACTATGAAAGTAGCCATATCCCAGAGTGTTTATAGTAAATGTTATTTTTTGCCATTTTCTTCATTTTTGGATTAGGATTTGTATAGTATATCTGCAAGTCATAGAATCATAGAATTGTTAGAGTTGGAAGGGACCTTAAAGATCATGTAGTTCCAAACCTCCTTTGTAGGCGTTAATTCGATATTGAGTAACTAAATATTTTAAGCTTCAGTTGTTATAATTTCAGCGATAGCTCTTTTCAAGTTTGTGCTTTCACATTTATTGATTTCAATGTATTTATGAAAGAGTTCTGGGCTTTTTTCTTTTCCTTTCAAAACCAGCACAGACCAAAAGGTCTGGAAAATGCAGCAAAATTTGGTTTTCTTGTTAAAACTGAATTCGTGACGCATGTCTTCACTGAAATGATACCTCTAATTCCATATATTATGACATTGGGTAAATTATATTTCTGGTGCTAATAGCCTTTGATTACAGCTTCTTTCCCCCCAGGCAATTACTACTGAAGCATTAACAACTTCCTCTCTCAGCTGGCCAGCTCTTCTCTTACTCGCCTCATCCAAAGCCTGCTGAGGTTGGTTTCCAGCCCTTTGACTCAGACGCGCTGTCCATGTCTCCCGATCTCCTGTGAGACTGGGAATTACTCACCCTCCGTCTTATTAAATTTCAGCTGGCCTTGGCGATTGGCCTGCTCCAAGGGTTGCCCTGTCAGGATGCTTATTTACCTTCACCAAAACACCAGAAAGTCGTTTAAACTGAAAACATACCAGTGAGGAGGTGCACGCCAAGCATTCCAGCATCCTAAATGAAAATAATGATTTAGAAGAAAAATACCAAACTCTGCTGCAGTTTGGGGTGTCTCTGCCATCAGTAAAGGATCCAGCCAGTCATTTCACTCAAAACAAAACACAGAGCCTTTCTCCGTACCCTCCCTGATCAGACCACCAAAGCGCTTCGCATCTCTCTTCTGCTCACCAACTATTTTTATGATTTTCCACAAGAAACAGCCAGGCCAAGCGCTGAGAAGCGCTGCGAGGGGCCGGGAGAACATCGTGTCTCCAGACACCGGGAAAACAAAATAAATCACGGCAGGAACAACATTTTATACGGCTTGTTTTTTACATGATGTTTTGCTATAAGGAAATGATGAACAGAAGCGTGAACTGAGCTGAGGCGCGAGCAGCTCTTCCTGCCTTAGATCTTGGAGCACTGTTATTATCAGGAAAAAGCAATCTTCAGAAGCAGCCAAGAGGTTTAAGAGCACCAGCCATGCTGTTTAGAAACCCTTTCCCTTTAAGATCAGAATGTTATCAGTATAGACTGGTCTATGCTAATAAATAACATGCACAATTTTAACAATGAGGGCGGTTCATCACTGTGGTATCTTATCTAGGGATCAACAAGATTCCTGTTACTTACAGTCTTTAAATCAAGACTTGGCGTGCGTCTGTGCATCATGCTGCGATGTAAAGCAGAGACATGAAAGCCATTTTGAAACCACCTAGCTCCCACAGTAACGTGAGGCTAGCAGCAGAAAGCAGGGTTAGTATGAAGTAATTAGGCCAATTTAACCAGCTTTCTGGTAAATTACCCCATTGAGTTCAGCTGGAGTGCCCTCTGTCCCCACCAGCTTGTTTGAAGTTACCCAGTGTATCTTTACTCTTCCCTGTGGTCTCCAGTGAAGATGTGACACGGCTACCTTTCTATCCAAAGTATTAAAGCTCAGATAGATATTATGGGCTGCACTGGATGATGCTCGTGGCCTGGTAGCCAGTCCCTCTCTAAGGAGTGTGCACATAAAATACAAACACTATAACTGAGATCACCCAGCAACATGGGTAAGAAATGTCTTCCTCCAGGACTGGCTGGCTTTGGTCCTCTCTGACCCCCTGTTCTTGATTGTGAACCTCAGATTATGCCAAGTACTGGCAGTGCTGTCGAGAGTCACACAGAAGCAGCTCTCTGAAAGCAGTAAGATGCACCAATGTAAGCATTTGATGCCTTATTGCACTTCCACCCTAACCTGAGTGTTAACCACTACCTTTCTGCCTGTATTCCCTCCCCATAAGGCAGAACAAACCCCTGTATCAGTATCTGTTTCTATTATTAAACTGGATATTCCCCTCCCAGCATTCCTGGTCTCCTAACATTTGTCCTTGGCTACCCCTAACAAATCTGCATGGGGAAAGTTTCTGCCTCTACTGCAGGGGGCTGATCGTGCCTCGCTGGCACAGCAGGCGCTTCGTGAGTGGCAACATTTCAATCCCACTTTATGCTTTGCCACCAGAAAGCCAGGCACACGCACTGAAATGCTGCCCGTGCATTACCACAGTGTCTTCTATAAGAAAACATGGATTTCTGCCACTAGACAGACACAGAAACTAGTAAGCTATTCCCTGCATTCCTCTATCCCCCTGGGCAGCCCGTGTAAGGGAAGCCATTGATGCCTGCCATCAGATAGACACACAGACTAGTAATAAAATACCCATGATTCACTGCATTTTTATTCCTTAGGGTGCTTCTGAAGAGGGAGCTACTGATTTCTTACTTATGTTTAAATGATTTGTGAAGGGAAAAAAACTTCTATTTTATAGCCCCTGCCTTTAGGCACAGGGGAAACTGTTTTCTGTGAGTTCTGCATTCTGTTTGATAGACAGCTTTCCTCCGCTTACCTATCCTCACTTTGGATGTTTTTAGGAAGCTAAAGTTTTCCCTAATCTTGTATTTTTAATCAGTTAAAAGTTGCTATCTATCGGGGGTAACATCAAACCCCTCCAGTCTCTGCATTTGCTCATTTTAGTGTGAGATCTTCCAGCTTGAAGAACATGATCTTCAATGCCTCATCATTTATAACACCATAGCCCCATCAAGTGCATGCAATTACATGACAGTGCTCTACCATCATGTAAAAGGCAAATAAGGTGAAGAGAAACAAACATGCCAAGTAGTTTTCCCTGAAGTCACACAGAAAATCAGGCAGAGACAGGCAGAAACCAGATTCTCTGGATCTCTGGTCACTAGACACACCGCCTTTCAGACCTTGCCTAGCCCCTGGATATGGGTAGCCCCAGCATATGTGCATGTGAATTGTCAGGGAATAACAGCCAGGATCTACTCCACCTACCAGCTCTGTGCTAGGGGAGGCCACAACAGTCCCCTTTGTCCTTTTGAAGCAAGAGGACTTGCAGGTTCTGCTCTTAGCCAGGGATGGGTTTGGGCACCGTAGAGATAGGCATAGCACAGCAACCTAAGTAAAGATAGAGGCCTCCATGTTCAGCCAGCAAGGGGAATCCTATCCCCAAGACAGACTGGAGCCACATCATTGCCTAATGCTCTAGAAAGCACAACATCCCCTGGAACTCCCCATGGCAGGGCCCTCACCACAGGGCATATTTTGGCAAGTGCTGTGAATATGGCCCTTCTTCACCATTTCCTTTCCATATTAGTCACATCTAGTCTTGCCTCTGGAAGCCCAGCGTAAGTGCTGCGTCTGGTCAGGGAGAAAGCAAGCACAGCATTTTCTGTAGGCAAGCATCCACAGCTCAAAACCACCTAATAATACGTCTCAGTTCTTCCTGACTTGGTAGTGTCTGCATTGGAGAGGCCAAGGTTTGGAAGGGAAGGAATTGGCCAGGACAAAAGTGCATTGGCAGAGCTCTGTAGAGGCACTCACGCAAATCCTGCCCACACTACAACTGGATCCATCCAGGGCTTTCATGATCACTGGATGTGCCAATCTGTTTTTAAAAGCAAACAATCAATAAAGGGAGAGAAAAAAAATGGAGTAACTGCTTGGCCTGAAGCTTGCTGCTACTCAAGAACTTCCCACATTGTGCTAAGTGAGAGTAAAGCATGATGTGTACTCTTTTGGGGTCCGATTCACACCCAAGTTTTTGACCTCAGCAACATCTGCTCTTCCAGGGATGCTCAAATGCTCAGATGTGGCTGGTGAACTCCTGAAGTCAGCTGGCCCAAGCAAACAGAGTTCAAGGCTGAGCTGGCAGAGAAATAGGTTGATTCTGTGCATTTCTCAGGGAAAGGCCATTGAGACAGTCCTTCAGGAACCCAATCTGGAAAATAAAGCTGCTGCTCATGTAGGGAAGTCCTGAACATCAGCAGCGGTGTGGCAGCTTGCAGCAAGGGAAATGCCTCCACCTGGATCTGCACATGTGGAACTCACTTTCCACTTGATATCCACTGCTGCCACTGCTCCTGCAGAGGTAAACAGTAGTCCTGAAACCTGCATCTGCAGCATGGTGTGCAGGGAGGAAGCTTATAGGAGTGGTATGATGTATTTATCCCTTGTCTGCACTGGCAGTGAACATCCAGACTCCAACTCTGCCAGTCTGTCTTTTACCAACCATTAAGTCCTCTTTATTTGACTTAATTGACTTATTTTATTTGAATTCATCCATAGACTAACCTACAAACCACTTGTGCCATCCTTGCCTTTTCCTGTTGTCTAGAAGGTTTTGTGTTCGCTCCTTTCTCTTGAGAAGATAGCCTAATCTTCATCTGAGTTGTCTCCATGCAGGGAGAGATCTTATTCAGAGGACCTGCTTTTAGGACTGAGACATACTGCAGACTCAATAACTTGCATATGAGGTTTTCCTGGTGAAGGTGAAAATACAAAGAATGGAATAAAGAATTCAACATCCCAAAAATGTCAAATATCAGAACTATTTCTTCCATAACAAAACACTGCTTGCAGCAATTAACAGCATCATTGCCAGCTCTTTACTCTCACATAACTTCAGTGGGAACAGGCATGATCAGTTTGTCTTTATGGGAACTGCAATCTCCTCAAGACAACCTCTTAAGTGCAAATTATTAATTCAAGGTAAAAATCGAGACTCATCCAAGAGACACAGAGACTGCCTGAAGCAGAGGTACAGGCTCTGGAAGGAGCAGCTAAACACCTCATTAACTGCGCCTCATGCCGTTCAGTCTGAGTGACTGAGTATTTCCAACACAATTGAAGCTGTGGTTCTCTGAATTAATGTTATTTTTAATAAAAGGAGGCGTTAAGTTGCCTTCTTTAGTGAGCATTGTGGAATGTTTCTAACTTCCCTACCAGACATGGCTGCGTTTGACTGATATTTGTGAGGCACTTGGAGAAGAAATGTGCTATATAAAATTAGAGATGATGCCAAACCTCAGTGTTGGATTAATACATCTGTGTGAATTTAGAGGATGAAAAGCCACCTTCCATTTGATGGCAAGGTGTCAAATTCCATGTTAGTGTAAACTGATGCAGACAGTTCATTATAAAAAGTCATTCCAGTTGTACTGACAAAGAATCTGACCCTGGTCCATTTACTTGAAATGAAGCAACCAAAATCCTGGGTCTGAACATGCCAGAAGTCTGTATTAAAACTGATATCTAGAGCCCAGCTTTGCTTTTCAGGCCTTTTTAAAATGCACCTTTGTATATTGTTGATATACACGATGCAGATGAATGCATTGAAGCAAATACTAGTAAAGAAGTCACAAATAGGCAGAAAGATGCTTTATAAATTATAGAAGTTTAAGGTTATTAGGTTTCTTCATACATTTTGTATGTTCACCTGAAATCGCAGAGCAAGCGCCTCTGCTAGTTCAAAGCAGGAGTAAGTTTCTGTTCAAAACTAAGGAATGAATTTTGTGTCCTCTCAGCCTCTCTCCATCCCTCCCACGATGTGGTAAATTGTGAAAACTCGCTCTCTGCTAGTGCATGAAATGAGGACACTGCAGCCCAGCCCAACAGCATCAATTCTCCTTTGAATAAGAGAGAGCCAAGCACTGCAGTTGCAGTAGTATCTCCAGCCAGATCCCTACTGCTCCGGAGGACACAGCAATACAGATTACAGCAAACACATCTGCAGGACCATTTTCAAAGTGGTTTCAGGGTCTCGCTGGGAGATTTTGGCTGGCTAAATGAGCAAAATGCAGAGCATACATTAGGTCTGTGACTGTAGTTAATGAGTGCGTTGTTTTAGTAGATGAATTGGTAAGGAGGGTCATTTTCTAATACATCTTTCCCAGCAGAGTAAAATATCCACCACTGAAAACAGCCATAGGCAATCCACTATTTTTATATTACCCATGTAAGCTGCTCCTTGCAAATAATGAGCACTCCTACCCAAGAGCTGCTCAGAAGAATAAATGACTAACCAGATTTTATCAGGACACAAGCTAAATTCAATGATTTATGAAGAAATCTTGGTCCCGTCTAATGGAATTTTCCCAAAATAAATTCATGTAAACAACTTGCCACAAAGAGGCAGTCAGTGCTGGCTGGTATGTGTAAACAGCTCTCACAGTTGAGAATATAATCTCCCTGACTGCTGGGCAGTCTGGGGAGATTCATGCAGAGTCTCCGTTCAGAAAACCACCTTTGGCTCTGATCCTCCTGACATCATAATGCCGCCTGTTTCATTCGCTTTTAGTTGCTGTTACTATCATCATATATGGGGGAATCATTTTGCCTCTCAAAGCCAACACATGCATTCTTATAGTTCTCATCAGAGTCCCAGGATGAGAGTCACAGG